GCAGGCTCGGTTTGATTGAGCCTGTTCATGGACGGTACTGGAAACTGCAAGTTATCGTCCACGCCCCCTAGCACCGGCTTAAGCAGAATTCAATATTTAAACACAAAAATGGTCAATTTCGAAATTAGAAACATCCGCAGATGTGTTCATACGGCGGTCATCATGGAACCTTCAATGTGACACAGTAGTGTCATTCCATGAAAAGCGGCGTATTGTTCCCAAGTAAAAGAATGCGTGTGCCCTAAACGAGAAAACAATGGGCGGAACTGAATAAAATGGAATTTTGAAAGGGGATCTGAGGTTATGAAGCCTGCATATCACAGACAAGACGTCAAAAGACAAATTAAAAAAGCAGGCAACATATCCTAAGGGTGTTTAGACAATATTCAAGTAGGAATACTGAAACCACTCAAGTTGAAAAAGGCCAAATAGAAGAAACTTAAAGTACTACATAACATGTATACACAACATTAATGTTGTGCTGAACGATCTTCAATGATCGAAAATATAATATCATTGATTAAATGTACCGGGAGACTTTTTACAGCCGCCACACGGCACAAATAATACGGATGTGACAATAAAATAGAGAAATACAGAATCCCGAAAGAAAGCCCAACACCACAAAATTGAAAATGTTTCAGGCTTGGTTTGATTGAGCCTGTTCATGGACGGTACTGAAAAGTGCAAGTTACCGTCCACGCCCCCTAGCACCGGCTTAAGCAGAATTCAACATTTTAGACATAAAAATGGTCAATTTTGAAATTAGAAACATCCGCAGATGTGTTCATACGGCGGTCATCATGTGAACCTTGATATAACTGGTATATGTGACTGTCATGTGACTCATAACAATATATTGAATAACAAGAACTGTCGGAGGACAGCGACGCTCGACTATTCGAAATAGTTTTCACGAAGTTGTTTCATTGAGTATAATAATGCTTACCTACATGAATATATTACTTGTCCGAAAAGGTACAAAGACTTGTTATTAAGATGTTTTATGGAGTAAATTACTGCTTTATTATTATGAATGCATAAAACTGTCCAAAAAATGGCACAAACCCTTTTGTAGTTATGGAGATACGAGCTTACAAGCAAAATATTACCAAGAATTTCTAAGTTGAAAAAGGGGCATAATTATGCAAAAAATCAAATCAGAGTTATGGGACTTGTGTCAATCATGTTAGATAATCAAAGAGAACAAGTGTGTTAAGTTTCAATCCATTCCTTTCACTAGTGTAAAAGAGAGAAATTTCTTCTGTCGAAGCTTCATTTGAATTATCATAACTTCCACTGTATAGAAGTAGTCATACTTTCAAATCAGTTAGTTTACCAAGAGCTAGAATACTTGAAAAAGATGGTAGAATACTTGAAAGAGATGGTCAAATTATCACAAGGAACAATGCACTTGATCAATATCTTTCCAGACATAAAATACAATAATGTCTTTTCAACAATATATTCTTACTGATCTATGTCCAAATTTTGTTAAAGCTGAAATGGAAGGAGCAAAGCATAAACAAAATCAGGACAATGAAAGTGGTGATGATTTAGCAATTTATTCTCAGCAAAAAGAATGAATAGATGCTATTAGACCACATATTGAATATGATTGTCCTGTTACTGATTTCGATTATAACGACGAAGGTGAAACATATGATTGGAGGAAAACTGTTAATATTCTGAAAGACCAGAAAAATATAACAGTACTGAAATGAAGTACGGGGCAAAATTTTACAGCTGCCACACGGCACTTGACACCTGGTGTTGTGAAGTATAAAAATCTGGAGACAAAGTGATCCCTCGGAAGCATTAATCACAGCAAAATTACATGAATTTTGCAGACGTAGTTTTATTAAGTCTATACATGAGGGATAATGAATAAGTGCAACATCCTTCACCCTCAGCACCGGCTTGAGCGGTACTCTATTCTCAACTCTTAATAGTGCCGGCATCAATGATCCCGAAGGACTTACGTTTAATTTTATTTTAATTTTTTAGATTAATAAAGTTTTATACAATCAGTAAGATTACATTTTCAATCAAATACTAGTAGGTCTATTCAAGTAATCTGTCCTACTTGCAACAGTGCCAATATCATTTAAGATGTGACATTACACAGATTCTTAAAAGTTCCTACAAATTATACAGGATCTGACTTGACTTCACCTGATGGTTCAAAAGGTATGCAACTTCAAATCAATTGTGAAGGATTGAAAATTCTTCTGGTTGATAAACTTTCACTTATAAGTACATTAACCTTATGTCATTACGGTGTCAAGTAAGGACAGAATTGTAATCAATCTTGGGGCGGTCTTCCTGTTGTTGTCTTCTTTGGAGATGTGTTCAACTACCACCTGTTTTAGATCCTCCAGTATATTATTATAATACTTCTTCACCAACAGCAATACATGGTTTGCTTGTTTGGAAAGAGTTTTCAGTTGCTGTCACACTTAATACAATTGTCCGTCAAAACAAGGATGAAAATGATTTTCGAAATGTTTTACAATCTCTTAGAAATTATAATGTTACACCAAATCAGTGTAAATGGTTACAAAACTTTCAGTGGGAAAATCTTAAAGCTAAATATAATGAGCAGTTTTTAAATAACCTTTGTGAACATGCTCTTCATGTTTTTCCTACACATAATCAAGTTTGGGAGCATAACAAACAAAAAATCCTAAATGTTAATATAATATTCCCCAGAGCAAAGATTACTGCTGTTTGTAAAGGTCCTCACTCAAAGACAGTAACAAATGTAATGGCCACTTGAATAATTGACTGTTCATGTCATGCATGTAAACGAAAACAAATCCCACTTCGTCTTTACTTGGCCTTAACTATTCATAAATGCCAAAGGACGACTTTTGGAAAAGATGAATGCCACAGATACATAGTTATAAATCCTGATAAACATGTTTTTCAGGTGCTTTATTAATGTTGCACTTTGAAGAAAAAAAGTCTGCTGGAAATGATACAACAGAACCTGATTTTGCATGGCATTCATCTGTGTTACTTAATGAAGACAGGCTTTGTCATGTCTGAAATTTCAAGAATAATTTCTTTGTGTGAAAATACCAAAACATAGTTCAACACTTTATACACAATGATTCCCGTTTGCATACACTCTAGTGAAGACTTTGCTGAAGAATACTCAAGTTGAGCCTGAGAGGGTGATGTGACAATCGCTGACTCATGTGAAATGTTAAGAATTCCATCCAGAGTTAAGCCAATTTCATTCCAAAGAAATTAATAAGTTAAAAATTCTGTCCAAGATTAAATCTTTAAGTTAAACAATGCATGTTCCAATTTCCGCCCAGATTCCGTGCAAAAATTTCGTACGGGCCTTTGACATCATTAAAAGCAATATAGTAAATAACTCACGTGATGTATGGTAATGAGTACAAAGAATTAATGAGTAATAAAGATGATAATAATGTTTATTTTATGCTTTTCGGGGAATTACTGACTTATCCGTGAAAATTTTAGTTGATCATTCCACAGTAAAAAAAAATTTAATAAAATATAATTTCACACTTTTCAATGACGAAACTGCTTTTACAAGTTTTCCCCATGTGGAACCTCAATTTTATTTTTGCTGACAATTCTGACATTGTCAGGACTTTTTAGAGAAACGCAAAGCTAAACTTGATAAATAACTTGAATTTCAAAAGTAATAAAAAAAACTTACTTCAATTCATTCAAATTACTAATCACCAAATATCGTCTCTAAATATTTAGTTTCATTTTTACAGTATGAAAAATACAATAACTTCCACATGCAAAACTCCTGTTGATGACATTTGGGCATATTTAAGTATCCTATGAGCAATAACTGCCTTATGCAATATGAAAACTTGAAAAGCAATGGCAGCCATCAGCCCGAAGAATAAGTAAACCACCCAGGGTTCGTAAGGCAGCCTTTCAACAATTCCATGTATTCCAATTTCTAGATGCTTTTGAATGTCAACACTTATTTCTTGTCTGTAACAATCCTCAAATAAGTTTCTTTCTTCAAAAAGATGTATGACTAACAAATCCAAATGATATCCCTCTGAATCAAACACAATTATTTTCCTCCCGTGAAATACACAACTTTTAAAAATGGCGACCGAATACGTTTCACAAAGCCAGGTCTAATGTAATGGCAGTAAGTAACGGAAATAAGGTCGAATGGTGTGACTTTTTCTTCTACTAGAATTGTTTTTATTATTAAAACAAGCAATAATTCATATTTATATGAATAAAATTAATTATATCACCGCCATTTAACATTGATTGTCGAACTTATTTTATCAGCCCAGAACTTCATGTATTTTATGAGAAATTCGACTAATAGAGGCTACCAGTGGGGAAACAGAATTTAATATAAAGTTAATATTAAGGAAATTTCGTTACAACTTGTTTTTAAGCATAAAATAAAAAGAAAATGTGTTTGTTTGTTGTGTAAGAAGTAATTTAATTTTGTGGGCTTTAAAAACAGTATTCTCACGAGTTTCATCTTACACACAAACAAACAAATATCCTCTATATATACTTAATTTATAAACCACAATTAACTAATTACGTTGAATACATATTGAATATAGAGAAACTTGTTGAAAGTTTTTGAAAGAAACTTGTTGAGGTTTGATATGCATATTTGTATGGTTCCAAGGCTATTATTGCGCTATAGGTAGATATTAAATTGATCATTTTCCCCAAATTCAAGTGGCTAAGGCCTCTTCACGGTAAGAAAGAAACAAACTGATACGTGATTTTGAGTGGGTGGAGCAAACATTTTAACTATCAGACAAGGAGCAGGCTATATTATTGACATTGCTTTGCAACAAATGTGTTACTTGTGTACACAATTTTCGAAGTATTTGTAATTGTGTTTTCGGACAGTATGAACTCCCGCCCCTAAGTTTTGAGTATATGTTATTGTTTCTGTGATTTATCTATAGAAAAAAATCAAAACACTTATTTTAACTTTGTTATTTCTTATTTTGCAGTTGGTAATTTCGAGATATTTTGTATTGGAGTAGGACAGAACATAGACCATACTACATTGGCTGAAATAGCGTCAACACCTCACATCGAACATGTGTTTACCTTGTCTAAATTTAAAGACCTGGCGAAAGTGGGAGATATCATAGCAGAGAAAAATATCGGTACACGTATTATAATTATTACTTTGGTTGAGCTTATTAACGCATACTGGTAACTTTATTTGAGATAAGTGGGGTATACAACTTTATTCAAAATAAATTATGTATATATCTTATTACAGATAATTGAAGTATAAAACTAAGCCGAAAAAACTTAAATGTTAAGGCATTTTAAAACATGATATGTTGGAAATTGATAAATAACAATTAACAATTAAATCTACTCTACAAGCGTTAGTACTGACCCTGTTTTAATTCTGTCCAAACTATTGTCTTAGTGGGTATTGTCACAATTAAGTTTAATATTGTCGCAGTGCTGATATTGTTAGTTGGAACGAGACTTTCATACAGCTTACTTCTGAAGCAATTTTAATTGTGATTTAGAGCCTACAAATTTATTAGAATGGTATGAACTTTTTTAGATTACGGACAGTGTGGTGTCTCGGGAAGTACGGAAATAGCACGGGGTTCACAGACTACTAACGAGGTAAGAAAAAGTAAAAACATAACATTGAAATGTCTAGTAAGTAGAAATAGCAAGAGTGAGATGGTCAGTGTTCTCTAGCATGGCAAGTATTTTAAAGTATGCTTAGAGAACTTGCAGAAATTAGTTTACAAAGGGGGGGGGGGTAATTTAATACAAACTGAAGCTATGAGTTTGGTAATTTAATTACAATAACATAGGTGTACGCATTTACAGCTGATCTTCATTGGCTTGGTGAATTTGCAAAAAAAACCTTACATATCATAAACTTGACCCCCTTGTGGCTTAGGGTTTGCTTTTAAGGTTTGAGGCATCAAAATTTCAACCACCGATTATTTTAGCATGATCATAAGAGACGACTAAATGGATTCAAATTACTAAATTCTATGAATCTCTATGAGGCTCCACCAGGTGAATTAGTTTCAACCCCTGGTGTTAGCCAAACTCGTCTTTCCTGTTTCTGCGCCATACGACCTAAATTGTATTTGTACGTCGTAACACCAAACAAACCAATCATAAACTTAACCATTTCCCCTCAGATTTTGCAAATGAAAAACATTCTTTAAGATTCCAGCAACACATTGTTAAATTTTACACTACATATAATATGATCCCAAAGACGTGTTTAAGTTCGAAGCAAATTCTTTCAGTATTTTTCATGATTCAAAATTGAAAACAAAACAAAACTGAAATCTGGTGCTATGCTAACTCAAGTGACATTCTGAGACAAATTCCAAACTAAATCTAAGAACAAAATTACTACAACAGCTCAAGTGTATGCAACACATGACAACAGCTTAAATCTTCTCTCTTATCAGACATATTTTGACTTTAATATTACTCCAGAAATAAACAAAGTCATACACAGAAAGGTCGATGAACTCTACATGAAGTATCAAAACCCAAAGAGAAACCAAATCGGAAACTGTTATACTATTCAAGTCATTAAACGCTCCAGACACTTAGTCCAACAATTGATGACACTGATTGTTGACTTAAAGGAGCAACATTCTCTGCCGCGGCTGCGAGTATATGCGGGAGTGACTTATCAGTGAATAAACCTTGAGCTAAAAATAGCATGCAGTGTTACCTGCAGCAAAAACTGCTGATTTTACACAGAGGAGGGTTAATGAATGTTTTAAATAACTCACAAATTAATTAAAGACACTATTAAGCCATATTGTCCAGATATTATTTTTGAAGTCGGCTGTTCCTCTTTTTTCCACAGGAATGCTGTAGGTTATTGAAGGATCTCTTTTATATGAAACCTGCCTTTCTGAAATTTGAGGGCGATTAACATTTTCATTCCAGTCAAAGACAGCTAAGTTAATCCTCATTTTTTAGGCATCTAATCACAAAACATATTCTTTTGTCTCCATACCGTAATAATGCATTACTTTAAACGATTCTACATAGTGAGTATCCATACAGTATCTACATTTGTATACTGGTATTGATTTTAAGAAATTTGTAAGAAGAAAAGCAACTTTTTCATCTTTGATGGTGTATTTGGAACATTCATAATTTAGGTATGTTTTGCATTGAGAAGTTGGTAGACAATTGTCGTGGCTGCCCTTGTAGTGGTCAACAAAGTTAATTAAAATGTGTTAAACTCTAAACTAGATTTAAATCAAGGATTTCACAAATTAAACTTGTCAAAAGTACAGTATTCTCTCGCTGTAAGAATGAATCTTAAGGGCGGTGAAATTTTTATGCATAAATTGCCATTCCTTAGCAGTTGCAAGATAAAGCAATATTATTCGCTCATAAAGGTCACCAGGGGTTGTCAAGACCAAACCACTTTGGAGAGAGAAAATGTACTTCCCCAGCATGGGAACAAGTTGAAAATACTTGCAAATTTGCATCCTGTTTTTAGCAGCGACAAATCCAAATCAGCATGACCACTAAAACATGAGTGATATGCCATAAACCCTCTTAAAACCAGTTTGAATTTTTGTGACACATTTCTTGATGGAAAATATCTGATTTTACTTACTGACGAGTATTCATGTTTTTTTTTCGTAGAAGTGTTACTTTCCATAACAGCAAATACAGCAATTCCTGTGTTTCTCGAAGGCAGGAATTTCTGAAACTCTAAAGTCAGACAACGACCGTTTTATGAACTCTAAAAAAAACAGGAAAATGTCCAAAATATGGCTACAAACAAACGCCGAATGTTGACGACTTATGAAAACCATGAGCAAGTAACTTCGTCTTTCGAGCTTCTCATCTGTACCATACAAATTGTAGACAGGACATGTAATCACTTTTAAGAAATTACAGATCTCCAATTTATGGGACAACGGCGGCATAACTTTTCTATAGAAGACCTATCAACATTGAAATCTCCTTGCACTCTCATTAAAAAAGATTACCGTCTCTTCGCTACCTTGCGTAGGGTAGTGGAGAGACAGTAAATCAATATAATTTTAATCAGATTAAAGCAGCATGCCTCAAGATGAGCGAAAATATTTCAATAAATCAAACTTGTGAAAAATGTATTAAGATTTTAGACAAAGTAGAAAGATTCAAGATTCAAGTAATAATTTACATGTTATGAGCGATTAATGGTGGATTTTTCATTATGTGCAACTGTATTTCTACTGCGTTGTTAACGCAGTAAAGGCATTTTTGCATAGTTTGACGTCTTTCTGAAATAAACGTTGGTTGTAAGTGCCATTGATAATCTGTAAAGTGATTCCTTTTGATTATTATACATTAATATACATATACATTTAATTTCATTTTCAAAATTTTCATGAAAATAAGCATAAATCTGGAGGCGTGCTGCTTTAAATCACATTGTTCATTGAATACGAGTCTGACTAGGGAAACTCCAATTCACCCAGTGAATATTATACTTAGCCCAGTGAATATGAGTTTGTAATTTTTTCTTTTGACTTCTGTTGGGACCAATGAGATTGCAGTCATGCATCATATAAGATGATAAATCAGTAGAAGTAATGTTAACTTTTAACATTGTTAAATGTCAGATCTACATTTTAATTCCACAGGGGGCGTGGCCATGGCTAGGTTGGGTGAGTGTTTTAGACGACAAAAACATACCACATACATGCGGGGGTGCCGTAGTTTGTGACCGGTGGTTTCTCACAACTGCTAGCTGTGTGTCTAGGAAAAATGGTGATCAAGTGGTTCCATATAATGTGTCACGGGTATGTACATATTGATGATTCATTTAAGTGATTTTGTTAAATAAAAAAAAATGCACGATTTAGGCTTTCGACTAAAAGCAATAAAATAAAATGAAAACTTTATGAACATGAAAACGTAACATAAAACATACATTATTAATAACAAAGTCAATAAGAACATGCCATTGATTATATTAACACAAGAAAGTATTAGAAATTGTAAATTTCTCTCTGTTACCTTTTTACTAGATAAAAAGTATATTTATTACCTTTGCTAAATAGATAAAAATAAAATTTGCCGGTTACCATTGATAACTTGACAAAAACATGAGCCTGCATGCATGCGTTATCTTTGTAAACATTATCAATGGGCTTGAATATGTTGTAAAATTTATTGTTTCGCAATGTGATGTAATATAAATGTATTTGCTTCACAAATGCGTTTCTTTTAGATTGTCTTTTCTTCTTACAGATGAATGTTTATCTGAGTGATTACGACATATTTAAAAAGGACATAAACGAGATTTGGCCAATCGTTCACGATGTTATAATTCATGACAATTATACAGGAGAGGAAATAGGAAATCTTGGGATTTATGCTAACGACGTAGCCTTGCTGGATTTTGGACAGAATGAAACTGAGAGACCAGTGTTAGACAAATATCTGCGACCAATTTGTATCGCAACAGGTATTTAACCTTCACAGCAAATAAAGCTGATGATACCATGGTGATCCGTTAGGGATGTTTCAAGTTTCATAAGCTATTATTTTTTTATTATTATTGAAGTATAACGTTAACAAGCAATGTTATTGAAGAATGTTTTGTTTGAAGATAACATATACTGGTGTAAATATTACCTACTATAATTCAAGCATGCTTATATGAAGTGAATTTGTAGAACATGTAAGACATGACCTTTACCCTCAATGTCAAATAATTGAATTTTGCTTACGTTGTTATTTTTTTGTTGCGTCTGTACGGATTTAATTTACACTTTGACAAAACAAGACTTGCGACCAAACAAACATATTGAATAAATTAGATGTGACATTGACCTTGAAATGACCTTTTAAATGTCAATTTAATAAAATTCTCTTGTTTTTTTTCCTATAACTGGCTAAACTTTTTCATTTAACTTGAAGAAGGGAAAAATCTTTTTGCTCGCCCGGCGATGGCTCTTGTTTTGAAATTAGACACGGTCCTTGGGGGAGTCATCGACACTTGGATTTTCAAAACTTCTCATGAACCTGAGTCCGCAATTTTCAATTGCATGTTTTTTTACAATTGTTTGTCTTTCATTGATCAAGAAAAATTGCCATTGTTTATAACACTGTATGTTCTTTAATTTTAAGGTAACGACTCCCTCAGTGATGCAGAAACGCACTTCAAGATGTTACTCTCGTTCCCGAATAAAAAGGACGCATTCACCGCCGGGTGGGGTAATGCACCAGATAACATATATCATACAAGTTTACTACATTCAAAAATGATGCAGAATCAGAGGTCTGTTGTGAAACAAAAGTATTGCAAGAGGAGGTACGAGAATATTGACTTGGATCGCTTTTTCTGTGTTGGAGAGGAATTTGAAGAAAGGTTTGTTGTTGTTTTTTTTCATTTCATTTTCATAAAAGTTCTTTAATGTTATTACAAAATTCCAATATTCAATTAAGTGTTCAATTCATTAACAGTAAAGGAACTCAAAAAGTTGAAAAAAGAAAGAACATTAATTTAATCTAATAATCAACATCATACCTCAATTGATTTCATTGTTTACAAGGGTACATCATTTACTATCTTAGATGCTCTAATTGAAATCTTAAAGATCCTGTATGTTGTAATTAAGGTTGTATACCACACTCAAGTGAAATTATATATATCTATATAATAATTATGCTTATAAAACAATTTTTCAAACACCAAAGAATATGTAAAATATGTACTGCAAATATTTGTACATATAATATGTAATCATTAAAATATATGCTGCTTGCATTCATTTCTTAATGAAAAAAAAAGACTTTGATTTTATACATTTTTTTACCTCCTTTTATTTACATGAAATGTTAACTTCGGTAATATCTTTATAAATAATACTTTTTGGAACTTACAAAATTGATAAATCTTAATTTGATCATCATATTTATGATATAAAACCATTAAAAATTTGTGTTACAGGATCTTTAAAGGTTTGAATAGTATTACATAAAGAGATAATATCTCCATTATCTCTTTACAGTGACTCGTGCATGGGTGATATTGGGGGTCCATACATGGTACAGTTGTCCAACAAGAGGTTCTACAGCCTAGGCCTAGCACTGAAAACCCGTGGTTGCAAAAAGAAAAACAACTACAGTATTTTCCTAAATCTTCTACACCCAACAGTCAATGACTGGATAAATCGTGTATTAGATGGGTGCAACAGGGTCGAGAAAAAAGACACTTAAGACTTTTTTTAGCCAACGATTTTTGCAGAGATAATAAAACATTTTCTTATTATGTATATATTGTTTTTTGAACATTTTGTCTAAACCAATATAATTCTGCTTTCATCAATATACTTCTCTACAGATTTTGTTTTGTATTCTGGTATTTTAGACACACCTCCTCTTGTTAAGGAAGTGGTAAGCCGTACAGGCCGGTACGGCTAGCCAAAAGTTATGCTTCGGAAACTATTTTCGGTTTTTAGGTAATAGTGACCTTGACCTTTGACCTAGGGATACCACAATCGATAGGGGTCTTCTACCCAATATGGACAATCATCCTATGAAAATTGAATATTGTGAGCCAAATGGAACTTAAGTTATGCTCCGGAAACTAAATTGCTAACGGACGGATGGACGGACGGGCAGACAGACAGACGAACGCCAGGGGGTATAAGATAATATGCCCAAAATTCTATCGGGCATATAAAAGGGGGAGATAAATCAGCCTAATTACATGACACAGATATGAGTGCTGTTCAGTGATCATTATTTTTGACAACAAATATACATATGAAGTTTCAAGTTTGTATCTTTAAATTTTCAGAGATATGCAAAACTTGCATGTAAAACTTAACCAAGAAAAGGAGATTTTTTTAGTACAAAAGGAAGCATAAATCAGTCATAACACATGGCAGAGTAATGGATCATGAGATGTGACCTTCAATTATGACCCTTAGTACATGTGTAAAGTTTCAAGTAAATATCTTTGATAGTTCTTGAGACCTTTAACCTTGAACCAAAATTTCTAAGTTTCAAAGGGGCATAATTCTGCAAATATTGTTATGTACATTGTTACTATAAATATATTCAAGCAATATTTAACTTCAGAAAAAAATTTAACCAAAATTTTTAAGTCAAAAAGGGGCATTATTCTGTAAATATTGTAGGCAGAGCTATCAGTCTTGTCAATCTGATGTACATTGTTACTATAAATAAGTATTGTAAGTTTCAATTGAATATCTCAAGCAATAATTGAGATATTTGACTTTACAAAAAACTTTTACCAACGCAGATGTGGACACTGACGCCGGGGCGACTGTAATAGCTCTCCATATTCTTCGAATAGTCGAGCTAAAAACCATCCCTTATATTTATTTGGTTTTTGTGTCTGGTATGCAAACCATAAACAAAGAAAAAAGAGTTATGATCAATGTCAAAGTTTGCAGAAGGCAATGGGTACAGGAACACCAATATGATAACTTCACTCTTATTATTTCCTTTGAAAAAAAAAATGAGCAAAGAAATAAAATTTTCAAAATTACATACCATTATTCATTTATACTTATTTAAATGGTCACAATTTTCACATGGTTCCTTATATAATGGGTATTGATATATATATGGAGAATAAGTTGTGACAATGAAATTGTCCTTGAACAAAAATGGAAATCAGTTGGATGCAGACAGACAGATATACATGTTGCATCAAGTCATTATTTGTTATTGATAAAAGTATAATATTATACAATTATTGACCAGTACTCCATTGAATATGATGTGATATTCACCGGCAGATGACAGTAAATAACTGAATATGTAGAGGTTATTACATGGGGCAAGTGTGCCTTTAGTCCATATTGGCACACTTGGTGACTTATTTGCCCGAGGGCTTTAGCCCGAAATTTGAACCAAGTGTGCCAAAATGGACTAAAGGCACACTTACCCCATGTAATGATCTGTTTATTGCATATGTTCAGCAGCAATTTTTCAGACTGGAATAAAATCAAGAATTAACGTAATTTTTCTAATATTTGTATTAATTGGCTGTCCGTGTTGTTTGATTATATTCTCTAAATCCATCAAGCGATCCGCTAAAGATTTAAACGTTCTTTCGATGGCCATTTTTTTGCTATGCTGTTGTCAATTACGTAACGTAAGCGCGGATGTTCTGCTGTTACTGTACAACAGGTGCATGATAACCGGAAATAGCCTCAATATAGGATTTTGGCATGTCATAATCAGAAAAAAGAAACGTATTTTTATTACTAATTATAGTAATATATGCAATAACATATCATATTCAATGGCTCACTAGTCAATAATTGTTTTATTATATGAATAGGCTTAGAAATGAAAAAAAAAATTGCCTTGTTGAAGCGTGGGAAAAAAGACACACGTTAGGCCTGCAATGACTACGCGAATACAAAAATAATTTAAGTTTATACTCATCATTGTGGTGTAGCCTTTTAGTATAATAGTAAATAATAGAAAAATAATGATATTTTGATCGAGAAATATGCCATAAAGAACAAGAAGCAACAATTAATTTTTACATTATATATATATATATCCCTTCCCATAGGATCTTTAAATATTTAACTATTCCATGAGAATATTCTGCAAATATCATAACATCCAATTTTTCCATGAGAATATTCTGTAAATGTCATAACATCCAATTTTTCCATGAGAATATTCTGTAAATGTCATAACATCCAATTTTTCCATGAGAATATTCTGTAAATGTCATTACATCAAATTTTTCCATGATGTTTGTTTGATTGGGTTTTACGTCACACCCGACACAGTATAGGTCATTTGGCGACTTTCCAGCTTTACTGGTGGAGGAAGACCTCAGGTGCCCTTCCGTGCATTATATCAGACACAACGGGCACCTGAGTAGAACCACCGACGTTTTGTAAGCTAGCTGGATAGCTTCCTCACATGAAAGAATCCAAAGTCCCTGTCAGGATTAAAACCCACAGCGGTGAGGGGAAAGTGGTTTGAAGTCAACGACCTGAAGCACTTGGCCACGGACGCCCCCAACTTTTCCATGAAAATATTCTGCAAATGTTATAACATTTAACTATTCCATGAGAATATTTTGCAAATGTCATCATTTAAAGCAAACTAATATGATTATATTTTATTAATTTACATAAAAAACAATAAATTTTAAAAACAAGAGGGCCTTGATGGCCCTGAAATCGCTCACCTGTATACAGACCCCTGAGCCAAGGCCAATTTTAAACCAAGGGCTTTTATTTGGACAAACTTGGTAGACACCTATTAGAAGATAATTCATTATAAATATTAAAGCTCTAGCTCTTTAAGGTTTTTATAAGAAGATTTTTTAAGTTTTTACTTATATACATATAGGGAAAAACAATAACCCCCCTTGGAGGGGCCAATTTTGAATCCAGGGCTTTTATTTGAACAAACTTGGTAGACACTCACCAAAAGATTTTTCATGCTTAGTATCTAAACTCTAGCTCTTTGGGTTTTTTAATACACGATTTTTACTATACACATATAAGAAAAAACAATGAGCCCCGGGGCCGGCTAAATTTTAACCAAAGGGCCCTTATTTGAACCTACTTGGTAGAAACCCACTAGAAGCTGTTTCATGCTTAATATCTAAGCTCTATCTATTTGGGTTCTTTAAAAGAAGATTTTTTTTAAAGTTTTTACTATATACAAATAAGGAAAATCAATGAACCCCTGGATGGGGCCAATTTTGAACCCAGGGCATTTATTTGAACAAACTTGGTAGACACTGACTAGATGATGTTTCATGCAAAATATTTAAGATCTAGCTCTTTCGGTTTTCTTAAAGAAGATATTTTACGTTTTTTCTTTCGGTTGCCATGGCAAACAGAGTTCTGCTTTTAACAATTTTTAAAGTTGACTACCAAAGGAACATTTCCTGTGAAGTTTGGATGAAATTGGCTTAGCGGTTTATGAGAAGATGTTGTTTAAATTAAAAGTTTACGGACGGACGGAAAGCCATCACAAAAGCTCACCATGTCACTTTGTGACAATGAGCTAAAAAGGATGTACATTTGTACATAAGGACCGACTCAATCACAAGGACTGACCAGATTGCACACAGTATTCTTCCACTTTTAAAGGTTGGCACAAAAAACAATAACAAAAACATTGTACTATCACAGTCGAGATTGTGGAATAACTGAAGTGTATTGAAACTTAAATATACTATCCTTCAATTTTGCCTGGATGATTTCTTCAAAGCTTTCATTTTGGGCAACAGTAAAATGGTTCTGCCAGTCGCCAATTTCACCTATAAGAGAAACAATAAGTATAATTATTAATAGTCATTTGAACATCATTTGAGCCGCGTCACGAAAAAAACCAACATAGTGCCTTTGCAACCAGCGTGGATCCAGACCAGCCTGCGCATCCATGCAGTGTGATCAGGATCCATGCTGTTCCCTTATCAACTCTATTACAAGTAGAGAAACTGATAGGGAACAGCATGGTTCTTGATCAGACTGCGCGGATGCGCAGGCTGGTCTGAATCCATGCTGGTCGCAAAGGCACTATGTTGATTTTGTCGTGACGTGGCTCATTTAATTATTATTCTGTCCTTCCTTACATTACCCGAGATATGTTGTCTATTCATTAAAAGAACTGTTCTAACATAACATTATTATATGACATCAACTATCGGCTTTTAAAGTCTACAGTCTGTGCATTTAAGGGCTGATTGCTCTTTGCAAAAGATATAGATTTTCCCCTATTTTTGACGAAAAAATCCCCTTAACCAGTAAACAAGAGGGCCATGATGGCACTTATATTTTTCACCTGATTACGACTCTGAATGACATGGTATTACTATTTTGAACTATGAATGAAAAGCAGATATTATGTCTTAATCTTATACAGATTTATGGTTCATGTCTGCATCTGAAATATTTGGGCTGTGTCACCCTGATGACCCATATACAGACACATGACCTAGAAATCATTTTAACAATTTTGCTGACAAACTTTCAGGATGTTTGGGTGCTGAAAATATTAAATTCATTTTTTATGTTTAAGCTGAGTGACCTAGTTCTGACTGCAGATGACCCATATTTAAACAGCAATCCATTATTTAACTAATGCAATTAATATTATATAATTGAAATTCACCTTTCCTGTAAAGATATGGTTTATTGTTTCTGTCTCGCATGATAGTCTTCACTTTTCCACTGTCTACGTCCGATTTCAGAGACGAAAACGAGCATCTTGAAATGATCCGTTGCAAACGTTCGTCAGTATTGTACACTCCCAGATATTTCTGTAACCTTTTACACTCATGAAGAGTTTTCTACAATAAAAACCGTAATAAACATGCAATATTTGAGCCGCGTCACAACAAAACCAACATAGTGTGTTTGCGACCAGCATGGATCCAGACCAGCCAGCACATCTGAGCAGTCCGATCAGGATCCATGCTGTTCGCTATCAGTTTATCTACTTGTAATAGTAATAGAGTTGGTAAGCAAACAGTATGGATCCTGCTCAGACTGTGCGGATGCGCAGGCTGGTCTGGATCCATGCTAATTGCAAAATGTTGGTTTTGTCCTGACGCGGCTCATTTAATTCCTGGTTCCTTCTTTTAATGTTCAAATCTTCTTTACATCTTCAAATGTTTCAAACACATCTAAAAATTTGTCTCATACAGGAGAAAAAATTTGGACATTCTTTTTACTGCATTAAATTGCGATATTCAACTAAGGGAAGTTCTACAGGATTCATAAGAACACATATGAGCCGTGTCATGACAAAACCAACAGAATGGGTTTGCGACCAGCATGGATCCAGACCAGCCTGTGCATCCGCACAGTCTGATCAGGATCCATGCTGTTCACTTACCAACTCTATTACAAGTAGAGAAACTGATAGCGAACAGCATGGATCCTGATCAGACTGCGCGGATGTGCAGACTGGTCTGGATCCATGCTGGTCGCAAACCAATTATGTTGGTTTTGTCATGGCGCGGCTCACATGAAATCTGTAAGAACATCCAAAAGCTGTTTTTACGTACAAGGTTGATGTGACTAACCTTTTACCCTGACATCTATAGAGGTTATCTACTGGCCTAGACCATTGCATTTGTGAAGTTTGAAGGTCAATGTCGAGTTATTGATGGAAACTGTTTTGACATTCAAGGTCAATGTGACTACACATTTATGCAAAGTTATTTTAAAATCCATCCATAAGTGACAAAGTTATTGACCGGACACAGTTCATAGGAAAGTACTGTTGGATGGACGCTACAAAAACTATATGCCTTCCGATGTTTGAGGCATTATGAAAAGAAAAATGGCCAGCGTTAAAGTTCCTGGATGGAAACAGCAGTTTCGAACCCTGCATTTCACTGATAAAGACAAATTTAACAAGAGGGCCAGATGGCCCTGAGATCGCTCACCTGTATATAGGCCCCCGGAGCGGGGCCAGTTTAAACCCCAGGGCTTTTATTTGAACAAACTTGGAAGACACCCATTAGAAGATGTTTCATGATGTTAAGTTTTTACTACACACATATAATGAAAAACAATGATCTCCCCCCCCCCTTTGGCAGGGCCAATTTTAACCCAAGGGCTTTTATTTGAACAAACTTGGTAGACACCAACAAAAAGATGTTTCCTGCTTAAAATCTAACCTCTAGCTCATTGGGTTTTTTAAATGAAGATTTTTTAAGTTTTTACTTTACACATATAGTTAAAAACAATGACACCTCTGGGGCGTAGCCAGTTTTAACCCCAGGGCTTTGATTTGAACAAACTTTGTAAACACTTACTAGAAGATGTTTCATGCTAAATATCTAAACTCTAGCTATTTTGAAATTTTCACAGAAGATTTTTAAGTTTTTGCCATACATATATAAGGAAAATCAATGACCCCCGGGGCGGGGCCAATTTTGACCCCAGGGCTTTTATTTGAACAAACTTTGTAGACACTGACTAGAAGATGTTTCATGCTCAATATCTTAGCTCTAGCTCTATGGGTTCTTTAAAAGAAGATTTTTTAAGTTTTTACTATATGCATATAAGGAAAATCAATGACCCCCGGGGCGGGGCCAATTTTGACCCCAGGGCTTTTATTTGAACAAACTTTGTAGACACCCATTAGAACATGTTTCATGCCAAATATCTTAGGTCTAGCTCTTTGGGTTCTTTAAAAAAAGATTTTTAAGTTTTTACTATATGCATATAGGGAAAATCAATGACCCCCTGGAGTGGGGCCAATTTTGACCTCAGGGCTTTTATTTGAACAAACTTTGTAGAAACTTATAAGAAGATGTGTCATGCTAAATATCTTAGCTCTAGCTCTATGGGTTCTTTAAAAGATTTTTTAAGTTTTTACTATATGCATATAAGGAAAATCAATGACCCCCTGGGGCGGGGCCAATTTAGACCCTAGGGCTTTTATTTGAAAAAACTTGGTAGACACTTATTAGAAGATGTTTCATGCTAAATATCTTAGCTCTAGCTCTATGGGTTCTTTAAAAGAAGATTTTTTAAGTTTTTACTATATGCATCTAAGGAAAATCAATGACCCCCTGGGGCGGGGCCAATTTTGACCCCAGGGCTTTTATTTGAACAAACTTGGTAGACACTCACTAGAAGATGTTTCATGCCAAATATCTAAGCTCTAGCTCTTTGGGTTTTTTAAAAGAAGATATTTAAAGTTTTTTCTTTCGGTTGCCATGGCAACCAGAGTTCTGCATGGAATTAAATTCTTTGAACAATTTTTAAAGGTGACCACCAAAGGAACATTCCTGTGAAGTTGAGATGAAATTGGCTTAGTGGTTTATGAGGAGATGTCATTTAAAGTAAAAGTTTATGGACAGATGGACGGATGACGGACGGACGGATGCCGGACGAAAAGTGATTACAAAAGCTCACCCTGTCACTTTGTGACAGGTGAGCTAAAAAGTAAGCAACAAATTCTGAGGGTGATTTAACAGTTTTCAAGTATGAATACTGGAACCACCTAGCTAGACGGAACTAAACACAAAACAAACACAACACGCTGAATGATCTGTAAGAATCGGAAATACGAGGGGTCTCTATTTTCGGGCACATGGCAATATTTTACGGCCTCCACACAGCACAAATAAAGTTGATAAGCTTCACAAATTAATAGAAATTACCTGTTGTAAGTCTTCATAGTAAACAACATGAATATTCAAATCTTTTCTTTGCTCCAAAACTTCTTGCCAATGATTGAGATAATCAAAGTAGGATCCAAAAGGTACTGTAAATAAAAGTGTGTAAAACTTTAACTAGTGTAAAATACTGTTACCATACTAACACCTTTACAATCACATCTTTTTCTTTCTCATGTCTAGAAATTGAGGACTAATTTGCTTTTAAATAGCACACATGAAGTATTTTTGTATAAAAAATAAATAACAGAATCTGCATACATTTATAAAGATGACTTCAAGAATGTGCCAGTCACAATACATATATCCCAGTTAACAAACATATATTTTCACTATGATAAGCTTCTCTAATATGATTTTCTATTAGTCCAAAAATAAAATTATGTTTGTTTCCCCTTCCCGACCCATTAAAATTAGGGTTGGGTAGGTAGGAAGGAAAACATTTTTTTTTTATGTGCATGATAATAAATAATCTGAATATATGTATTATGAACTTCTAAAATTAATTTGTGCAATAGTATATGTACATGCATAACCATATTCACAACTGACATATGCAACAATTTATTTAACTATGCTAGCTGTCTAAAATATCAGATTAGATTGTACCTATGGTACTCTGGAAGAAAAAAACACTGACATGTGGACAACAGTGTTGTTATAACAAGAATTATCAAATCTGACTAATTTTGTCTGTACCTTGTTACTTAATGAGCATACATGTGAACTCTCCCACTTTTAGCGGGAGACACCCACGTTCTGCAGCCATATTTTCAAAGATTTTTCTTAAAATAAGGGGTATTTTCACAAATTAAAGAAATCTTTAGAAATCAAAAATGTACCTCTGTAATTTTGTCGATATCTTAAATTCTTGAGGAAATCTGATTTAATCACAACAAGCATTTACAATTAACACTGTGAGTCAAATGGTCATATCAATTGAAAAAAGAGAGTGTAACCTTTGAAGTATGAAATTCAATCAAAAACAAATACATTTTTACTTTGTTAGGAAAGGCAAGCATGTATGTTATAATGATGAAACAATGGTTTTAGAAATGTAAGATGCTGAAAGTGTAACCTGAAGAATGTAGTGATAAATATTTGATAATTTGTCATTAAAGTAGCAAAATGTAAACAAAGTATTATTTTGACTGTCATACTTAATACTTGAAGGGACTCCACTGAGGTTTTTTTGACATGATGGGACTGAAAATATTTTTTCCAGATAAAGGTTCCATTTGATGTAGGTTTACACTACTAATCTTTGTGCAAAATTTCAGATCATTCGCGCCCTACGTTTTTCGAGATTAATTATTCAAACTTTAAAAAAATGACCCATAATGAAAAGCGTTTGAACGCTTTTCACTCAAATCGGGCTAAGAAAATCATATAAATGTATGATTTTTACTTTATTTCAAAGTATATTAATTTTTAACTATCTTTGCATATGTTTCTGTTTAAAGTGCCCCAGCTCATTCATGTAAGAAATTCAAATGTTATGTTTTTAGGCTTTTAAACCGCAGTAATGTCCCTTTAAAGCTGCACGCCTCCACATGAGCCAAAATATAAGAAAATCAATAATGAGCAAAATGTACTACCGTTTTAAGAAAGGTAAAAACATTTAAGATCCAAGTTAAATTTTTTATGTTATGTGTGGTTAAAGACTGATTTTGCGGTATTTTATCACCATAATTCTACTGCGTTACTAACGCAGTAAGGGATGTTTTTACATATGCTGACCACATTTTGTAATTTTCTTGGATTGTAAGTGCCGGATTGCAATATGTAAATTACTTTATTTGTTTGTTTACATTTTTAAAATTTTCGTGAAAATTGACATTAATCTGGAGGCATGCTGCTTTAATATGAGGAATAGTACTAGTAATTAAAATTCACTATAATTGTACTTACTGCCAAAAAGTAACAGTTGTAAAAAATGTTTCAGGTTAATAAGTAACTTTTTGGATACTATAAAAGTACACCAAAATTATGAAGCTTTTGATAAATAAACCAGATTGCATGTGTGAAAAATGCTATGCCACCGCATTAATACAACACTAAATAGTAATGTAGGAATAGAATTTTTTTGTTTCTTTACATTAAATGAAGATTGCCGTAATGCATAGATCACTGGCCTATCTTATTCTTATTATTAGATTTGTGGTTACTGTAAAACTATTGTTATTCAAATAAAAGATCAGAGTAGGAATCTATCAATGCAGTCAAGTCTGCATGGAATGAAATTCTTTGAACAATTTTGGAAGCACTCCACCCAAGGATCCATCCTGCCAAGTTTTGTTGAAATTGGACTAGTGTTTTTTCACAAGAAGATTTTTTAAGTTCACTATATAATCTATATAAAACACAAACACACACACAGGTGAATTGCTATATGCCACCGCATCGCAGATGCTGCGGTGGCATAAAAAAATTAATTTCTTAGGCATGATAGGCCCTTAAAAATAATACCACAGTTAATTCAATATACAAAATTATTGCCACACTAGTAAAAGTAATACATCATACTTACTTTTTCCTTCACAAAAATACTTCAGATAGGTTTCCCATGATAAACGTATATTCAGTCTTGTGTCCTTGTATCCGTGGTGATAAAATGAAACCGCAACATCTTTTGGATTTCTGACAATCAAAATAACTTTCCCTGCCTTTTTAAAATGGTCGTCTGGTAGATATTCAAATTTTAAATGAGATGCTATAACTCTAGGACTTGGTTTGGCATTGAGTCGTTCTGTAGGACTTGATAACTCTATAAGGCTGGGATTTACAGAAGATACCATCTCCAGAGGCTTATTTGACATCATAAAAGTCAAAATATTTGTCAACCAATGATTTCCTGAAAAAAAGAAGAGAACTGCCTTAATTGGACTTGACCAGCCTCTGTTTTTTTTTTTAGCTGTCCTTTAATATCAATTTCGGTACAGACTATAATAGTTAATTAAAGTCCGTGATTACGAGATGAAACATTTAGTCAGCCAACCTTTAACAGACTGGTCAGACAGTATGATAAACAATAGGTTTCAAACACAGAAAAGTTTTCCTCTTGTAGTGTCAGAGTTATCTCCCTGACATAGTTCACAGTGTAACAAGGAACATCGCAATGCGATGCAACCAGGTTTTCAGCAAAATATTTCACAGAAGCTTTGTCATGAAGGGGCATTTTTTAATTGAATTTTTAGGAGGAATTATGGCTTTTTTAATATTCCTCAAACAAAAATGATTGAGAAATTTTATTTTGTCTATTCGCCTTTTTTCCCCAAATGTTTTAGAAAGGTAAACAGTACTTTATTTTTGCTTAATTTTTGAAGTTGCGCACTGTAGAAATTGTTCACTATTTATTCTGTATAAGGAAAAAATATACAAAGGGCCATAATTCGGTCAAATATTATCCAATCACAAAACCCCGGCAATATGTGCCAGGCACTTGATAACAAAGCTTCTAAGAAAGTTTGGTCAAAATCCGTTGAGAAATGTAGGAGGAGTTGCGCACAGAAGAAATTGTTCACTATATATTCTATATAAGGAAAAAAAACAAAGGGCCATAATTAGGTCAAATATATACCAATTGCAAAACCCTGGCAATATGTGTCAGGGCACTTGATGACAAAGCTTCTGCGAAAGTTTGGTCAAAATCCGTTGAGAAATGTAGGAGGAGTTGCGCACAGAAGAAATTGTTCACTATATATTCTGTATAAGGAAAAAAAACAAAGGGCCATAATTAGGTCAAATATATACCAATTGCAAAACGCTGGCAATATGTGTCAGGGCACTTGATGACAAAGCTTCTGTGAAAGTTTGGTCAAAATTCGTTGAGAAATGTAGGAGGAGTTGCGCACAAAAGAAATTGTTCACTATATATTTTATATAAGGAAAAAAAACAAAGGGCCATAATTAGGTCAAATATTATCCAATCACAAAACCCTGACAATATGCGCCAGGTCACTTGATGACAAAGCTTCTGTGAAAGTTTGGTCAAAATCCGTTGAAAAATGTAGGAGGAGTTGCGCACAGAAGAAATTGTTTACGCCCGCCCGCCCGCCGACATACCTCAATCTAATAACCAGTTTTTTCCTTCGGAAAACCTGGTTAAAAATTAACAAAGGGCAATAAGTCAAAAATTAGGAAGTGCAGAGTACTGGTTCTTGTGCACTGCACTTCTTAATGAGATCTATCATCCTATGAAGTTTCAAGTCTATAAATTTTATAGTTGAAGAGAAATGGCCCGGAAAAAATTAAAGTATGAAAATTTACAAAGGGAAATAAATCAAAAATGAAGAAGTGCAGAGTACCGGTCTTTGTGCACAGCACTTCGGGTAATTAAAAGAAGCATCCATACTAAGTTTGAAGTCAATCCGACTTCTAGTGACTGAGTTATGCTCCGGACAAGCTTTAGGGGAACCGAAAAAGACGCCGACACCGCAGACGCCTCCGACATAACTAACCCCTATATGTCGCCTTTACAAGGCGACACAACATTACCGATTAAAAATTACAACTAGAATGGTTTTTGATACAAAACATATGTCTCCCAAAACTATGTATGGTTCTCATCACAGTTCTGTGAATTTGATGGAAATCCATGTGCCCTTTTACTGTGTTGACCTATTAATCAGTCATTTATTTGTTTTCTTTGATTTCCTTATGGGAGACATTATGAATAGTTAAAACATACTTATTTTACCTCAATTGCTAAACAAGTTCTTGCAACTTATATTAATCATATCAAATTCCGCTTCCTGCAACCATTCAGTACTGATGTCATATCAAGAAACATGGTCGTGACCCGAGTATGGCTCGAACCTATTATCTCTCGGTTGAGAGGCAGACACCTTAACCACTCTGCCACCGTTTCATGAATTTAATTGGCCAAAAACAACATGACAGCATACATTATAAAAGGCAATTCTGGTTTAAAATCTCTCAACAATCTATTGCCAGATTATATGTCTGAATTATTTTCTTATTGTAACCACACCACTTTTAGTTCACACACTAACACACACTTCATATACACAAACCTAGATTAGAATTTTGCAGAAAAGTCCTTCCATACTGTGATACTAAAGTTCGAAACAAATTAACATTACACACCAGACAATCTATCACTCTTATAACGATATTCAAAAAGGGAATTACTTAACATTGTGGTTCTCTGATGGGAACCTCTGCTAATATATTTTGTAGATACCTTGCATTCTTATTTACATAGTATATGTTTGTTTCATATACATTGTCAAGTAAGTGCAATAACTCATGTTAACTCCTATTAAATTTAGAAGGACTGAACCCGTTACTGCACTAAGGTGACGAATTATGTGAACTTTTCAATATATCAGTGTATATCTAAGGTATGTTGACATTATTAACTCATGACCTTGTTCTATATATTATTTTATAAATGTTTACTTAAGATTCGTTTCATTTATTTCAATGTTTATTTCAATGTTTAATGTACACATGTTATCAATATATGTTAATATTTTATCTCTTCTCGATGTATCACACTATATGAATTGTTTTGTACATTGTTGGATCTCACAGCGAAAACTGGGATTGCGATACTGTGTTTGCCTCAATAAATAAAGTCATAACTTACTTACTTTGTATAAATGAAAGCCATCCATGAATTACTAACTTATGGCAATTCAAGCAAAATTTACTAACAAGACCTAGAGGGCCAAGGTCATTTCAAACATTTCAAAACAGAGAAAAATGGAATCCCTAAAGATCATAAAAAACAACAAAATTGAAAGTGTTGAAGGCTTTGTATGATATAGTCTGTACATGAATGGTTACAAGTGCTATTTGTAAGTTACCGTCAACGCCCTCTAGCACCGACTTAATTAAGCATTATTTAATATTTAAACATGAAAATGGTGAAGTTTTGAATTTAGAAACATTTACAGATCACACAAGAAATACACAACATTGGTGTTAATTATATTTAAATATGTCATTATTTCGTGAAATTATTAACTTGAAACAACTTTTCATTAACAGTGACATTGATGATTGAGGCTGAAAAAGCAATCCCAACCAAGTTAGGTACAATTATAAGCTTGCTATATTCTTGATTACAAAATTTTCTATTTTCAGCAACAGTGTCTTATAACACCTGCACACCCTTCAGCCAGCCTGTACAACTGCCCCTTATTCACCCATCTTATAAACCAGGATTTTTCATTACTTAAATTACACATTTGACCAAAAAAGGAGATAATATATCTAAAATGCCTGAATGTTTTACAATAATTAACATAAAATATTATATTTTCAATAAAAAAATATGATAAACAAGATCAACAAGGAAAGGCAGGGTTCAATGAACGCAACCCCCATATGACCCAGCAACAAGAACCAGTAGCAAGGAGCCAAGGGACCCCAAACAAAAACAGGACAGGGCACAATGCAGAGCACGGATAGACCAATCACTAAAATGATAAATAATTTGTAACTAATAAGGAGGAATTCAAAGAAATGAAATAAATGACTGAATAAGTCAAAGGGCACATGTGAAGGGGACAGGAGACCCAGGGAAAGGGGGGGGGGGGGGGGGGAGTTAATTAAAGAAATAAAACTAATTAAAACTGGTTCAAACCTGATTTTGGAAATGCACATTGTAGAACATCGCCTTGTCTAAATGGAAAATCTTTGATGGATTTTAGCTTCTGCACCGGATCAAACCAGTCTGGAAATGAGCCAGGGAGTATAATGTCACGATAGATGAAAACTTCAGTCTGTTGCCCTTTTTCATCTCTCAATATCTCCTTATGTCCACTATCATGCTGAGTCATTGTTCTAGACCATTAAAAACTTCTTAGAAATCTCCTCTCCACAAACCCTGAAATAAAATCATGGTAAAAAACTTAAAAATATAACCATACCTTCAACATTGAAACTAAAGAATTGTGTTCAAGTGTTAATCTGCTATTTCTTTATAATCACTTTCAAGAACACTTATCATAAACAATTCAAATCTTTTTAATTTAAATTAAACAAGACCTGTCAGAAGGCCAGCAAACAAGACATGTCAGTAGGACAGCAAACAAGGGCTTACAGTAGGACATCACACAAGGGCTGTCAGACGGAAAGCAAACAAGAGCTGTCAGTAGGACAACAAACAAGAGCTGTCAGTAGGACAGCAAACAAGACCGGTCAGAAGGCCAGCCAACAAGAGCTGTCAGTAGGACAGCAAACAAGAGCTGTCAGTAGGACAGCAAACAACACCTGTCAGAAGGCCAGCAAACAAGAGCTGTCAGTAGGATAGCAAACAAGAGCTGTCAGTAGGACAGCAAACAAGAGCTGTCAGTAGGACAGCAAACAAGACCTGTCAGAAGGCCAGCAAACAAGGGCTGTCAGACGGAAAGCAAACAAGAGCTGTCAGTAGGACATCAAACAAAGGCTGTCAGTAGGACATCAAACAAGAGTTGCCAGTAGGACAGCAAACAAGGGCTTACAGTAGGACAGCAAACAAGAGCTGTCAGTAGGACAGCAAACAAGAGCTGTCAGTAGGACAGCAACAAAGAGCTGTCAGAAGCCAGCAAACAAGAGTTGTCAGTAGGATAGCAAACAAGAGCTGTCAGAAGGCCAGCCAACAAGAGCTGTCAGTAGGACAGCAAACAAGAGCTGTCAGTAGGACAACAAACAAGAGCTGTCAGTAGGACAGCAAACAAGACCTGTCAGAAGGCCAGCCAACAAGAGCTGTCAGTAGGACAGCAAACAAGGGCTGTCAGTAGGAAAGCAAACAAGACATGTCAGTAGGACAGCAAACAAGAGCTGTCAGAAGGCCAGCCAACAAGAGCTGTCAGTAGGACAGCAAACAAGGGCTGTCAGTATGAAAGCAAACAAGACCTGTCAGTAAGCCAGCAATCAGACCTGGGGTAATCATTAATTGTAATCATTGATTTTTTAACTGATTAAATGATTAGACTGTTACCACCATGTAATTGATTAAGATACATTGTTATTATACAAATACTTTCAATTCCAAAAATAACAAAAGCATTTTCATTTCATTTATATCTGATAAACCTATAAAAAGGTACATTTTTTATGGTATTAATATGACACAATCAACTTTGAAACATTTTATTTAATTTGTTATTAGCGTTTAGTAAAGAGATTCTAAGTTACAAATTGGATTTTATGAATTATTTAAGTGATTTTTAAAAAGTAAAATAAATGGTCTAAGAATATTGAATATGATATATTGAAAGATTGATCATAATTAACTGACTTTTTCCAATTAATTTTAGAATCATAATCATTGGTCAATTTTTAAAATTTATATAATAAGAAAATAATAAACGTAATAACTCGGTACTGGGATCCTACATATTACCGGGCAAAATATGATTTTTTTCCCCTGTAACTTTTATTCAAAATAATAAAAAAGAATGGAATTTTACCAAAATAATATTGGGTTCTTAATACACGTAAACGTTCCTTTATCAAACATGAAATTAAACATTTGATCGTAGTAATGTGTCTTTAAAGTAGGGCATTATAAGAGGAAAAAAATCGTGTAGGCAACTCAATTTACCGGACAAATTTGAAGTCATGAATTGAAATTAATCTTTAAATAATCAGCAAGGAAACTACGACTATTGAATGGCAAGGTTAAGATATTGGAAAATCCCAGTATGTCAGTAAAATGGACAAGGCAGCCATGCTTGTTACGAAGAGGCCAATATAGGGGTCAAATTGAAATTAACACTATTAACTCAATTAACGTATTGATTCTTCATAATCTTTAAACGTATGAAACATTTTGATATTCAAATGGAATTCTGTTCTTTGTCATACAGTTTCCTTTTGGTCATCATGTAGCATGTTGCAAAAATGTATTAATGATAATGTATTATCCATATAAGGAAATTTTTATGTAATACAACAACAACAACAACAAACAAGAGCATCAAAATCATACAAATTTCAAATTTTATGTAATTTTAGTTTCATTTATAACATTTTATGCTCACATAAAGTAATTAATGTCATTCCTCGTAATTAATACACTTTTACATCTATATATCTTTGATTAAATTATATAATAACTAACAACAATAAAAATACATAATTAAAAAACAATTATATACGGAAAAAAAATCTTATATCAACACATTTTTCATCTAGAAAGATCGAAATTTTTTAGAAGACCGGCACTGACCGGGCCAGTAAATATGACACTATTAGACCGGGAGAGAGCAGAGACCGGAAGTGACCGGACCGGGGAATACTACATTCCCTAAGCCTGCTACAACTTTCATTCATTCCGCCAAAATGGGGAGTTCAGATTTTGTAAGAAAATAAACTTGTGACATTAATACTGATCTAGGTTCTTAAATGAATATATTTGCAATTTTAGATACATTTAAATTTTTAGGGTATATTTTTGTTGTAATTTCATATAAATAAAATGTCCATTGTATTAATTTTTTTTTGTAATATAATACATGCAGCTAAACATGGAGCTAAATATAGAGAAGAAATTGAGAAACTTGGCGGAATTCTGTAAGTTAACATTATGTCCAAGAATAGATGTATCCTAGGTAAAGTAGCCAAAATACCGCCATATTGAATTCCCGGAAGTCTCAAACAAAAAAGACAAAGCATTTTCTACTTATATAAGAAGCAATAGTTATTTATCGTTAAGCGTAGACATAAATATTTTTCGATGAAAATCTATGCTGGCAATGTAAAACAGTAATTCACAGTTATTACCGAAGTTTAACAATGAAGGAAATCGGAAACTAGCCGGAAAGGATTGTGGGTCTGAATCTGACTTGTTGTCTATCTAAAATTATTTTCGGAGCTTCCTATCTGTTGTGTATATATCTGTGTTTAATAGCTTGAATGAAGTATATTTGCCTTGGGTATATACATGTATATACATTTTGGTTCAAAACACAATGACTGAAAAATATATATATAGGTATGTTTCTTTGTATCTTAGTGATAGTATATATTTTATTAATAATTAAAACAACATTTTTTAAATAAAAAAATCTTTTTTTGTGTATATTTGGGCAATATTTGGGCATACTTGGGTATTTAGCCCTTCTGGTGGTGTGTGCCATGTGGCTTCAGGTGATTCAGCTTTGTCAACCATGTATGATGTCACTAAGTGGGTAAAAAGTTTTTAGTAAATTAGTATTGCCTATTGGCTTCAAAAAATAGCATTTGTCTGCACTAAAACAGACTTTAAGCTGAATTTTGCAATTCATGAAATGTGCATAAATCTTTGCAACCGATTTTACTTTGTCTTCAGAAATTTAGAACATTCAAGGTATATATTCTTATTGTTATCTTTATTTTTAAATTTTGTTTACAATAGTCCTTAAAACATAGACCTGAAAGTGTAATTGTAAGAAGTTCATCTTTTTACATTGTGACATTTGTTGTTACATGATTATCTGACTATTGGCTTACTGAAGCTACTTTCACTTTGGACCCACCTAGTGAAAACAAACATGGCCACCATAAAAACAAAATAAATCAATTTAACTTTATAAAGAGCCCCCCAAAAATATAAATAAAATAAACAACATTTTCTTGGAACAATACAATATATAGATTTCTAATTCTTGATTAACATGCCAAATACTCACCAACTCACTGCCAAACGGTGCAGAGAAAATGGTGTAAATATAAAAAAGGGAAGCAATCATAGATAAAACAATTATAACAATTCGCACCACGGACGGTTCGCCCTCGCACCACTCTAAGGAATAAAATGGATGGGATGTATAGGAGTATGTAGTGGAGTGCAATGACTTTATTTTTAGCTCGACTATACGAAGTATATGGAGAGCTGTCCTACTCGCCCCGGCGTCGGCGTCCGCGTCCAGATTTCAGATTAAAGTTTTGGTGCAGTAAAATATTTTTCACTATAACTTTGTCATTTCTAAAGGTACCAACTTCAAACTTCAAATATATGTTCCTTATTATCAACCACATCTTATGTGACAAGGTTCATAACGGTCGGTCTATTTACCCCAAGACACCCCAAGACTACCCCAAGACACCCAAAGACTACCCCAAGACACCCCAAGACTTCAGATTTATCTCCCCTTGACTTTAGAATTTTCCTAAAAAATACTGTTTTTTACTGTTACTTCTTTATTTCTTAAGGGATAAACTTTATATTTCAAATATATGTACCTTATCATCAACCACATGTTATATGACAAGGTTCACAACTCTAGCACCAATATTTTCATATTTATCTCCCCTTGAACTTAAAAATATTATTTTTTACTGCTACTTATTTTTTAAGGGATCAATTTTATACTTCAAATATATATGTACGTTATCATTAACCACACGTTATGTGACAAGGTTCATAACTCTAGCACCAATATTGCAAGAATTATCTCCCCATAAACTTAGATTATTTTACTTGAAAAATGTTATTTTTTACTTTAACTTTTTTAGTTTTAAAGGTATCTACCTCAAATTTCCAATACTTATTACTTAATTATCATCTATTACATTTTATGTGACAAGGTTCATAACTCTTGAAGCAATATAAATTTACAGATTGATCTCTCTTTGAACTTAGGATTTTCTTTAAAGAATATAATTTTATATAATTCATTGTCTAGAATTCCATGTAAAATTATTGTTTTAACGAAACGAAAACAAAAAAAACCCACTAAAAATGGATTAACATCTTAATTACCCTTATTGTTTGATATATAGAGGATATTGAATGAGTGTAAGTCCCATACTGAATTTATTGCACGAATTCAATAAAATTATATTATGCGAGCCTCTGGCGAGAATTTAATATTCTATTTATCACATACCCAAAATAAAGACCGTTTCAAGTGAAATAAGAGTCATTTTTTCATTGACGCGCCTAATGTATAACGCTTACATTTAGCGCTTTTTACACTATGTTTGTATAACGCTAATGACGTCACGTCAAAATATATGCACAACCGTGCAATACCATATTTACGGAGTTGCAAAATCGGCACGGGTGTGTGATAAAACACAATTTGTGAAATATATTTCAGTTAGTTTCTCTGACACAGTAACCTGTTGCCTACTACAAGTTTTATATAAGCAAACGACTGGACGTTTGGGTTTATTGCACACGTGTTTAAAAGAAGAGATCCCATCATGGCGTCAAGTTTTAAAGGATTTGAAAAATTATGTATGTCTTGTAAAATATTGATATTTTCAATGGAATTGAGTTGATTAAAAAGTGTGATCTTTCATTGTTGTAAGATGCCCCAAATTCGGTTTTTTCATCTTTATTGGATTCAGTGTTCCTATTGGAATACTGTATAATCACCTCTAGGATATGTTGCCTGCAATTTAAATTTGTCTTTTGACGTATTATCTGTGATATGCAGGCTTCATAACGTCAGATCCCCTTTCTAAATTTAATTTTATTTAGTTCCGCCCATTGTTTTCTCGTTTAGAGCACACACATTCTTTTACTTGGGGACCATACGCCGCTTTTCATGGAATGGCACTACTGTGTCACATTGAAGGTTCCATGATAACCGCCGTATGAACACATCTGCGGATTTTCTAAATTCAAAATACACCATTTTCGTGTTAAAATGTTGAATTCTGCTTAAGCCGGTGCTAGGGGGCGTTGACGGTAATTTGCACTTTCCAGTACCGTCCATGTAAGGCTCAATCAAACCGAGCCTGTAACATTGTCAATTTTGCCGTGTTGGACTTTCTTTAGGGATTCTGTTTCTCTCTATTCTTTTGGGAAGAACTGATAAGCAGCCTTATCACAAACAACATTGTATAAACAAAATCAAAGCACACTGAAAAACCATACATAGGCATGCAAACAAAAGGAAGCAAACAGAAAACAAAACTAGAGATGGAACTAAACTATAATGCAGGTTTATTGGCAGAATGTACATGAGCAACCCTCTACGTTCAATGCAGCAACTAAACTCTTTAACTGATTATAATTCACCCCCTGGGTGTTGGGGAAGAGAATTCAAAGAAACGAAAAGAGTTGCTGCCATAACTGGTAGTTCTTACCCGAGGAATGATAGCTACATTTTATAACTAAAATTGAAAGAATGAGTTTCTATTTTTACAAGATCATGTTAATATGTTGATCCTTCTTAATGCAGGATTTTGTGAATTTCAAGTGCTATATTTCTGATTTGTCTTAGTCTTAAATATTATGGATTGTTTTAAAAGTGACTCATTATGTCTGATTGGTAGTCATCACAAATGAATCGTAGTGCTCTTTCTTGAATTTACTCTAAGTTTTTAGTATACATTTGAGCCGCGCCATGACAAAACCAACATAGTGGGTTTGCGACCAACATGGATCCAGACCAGCCTGCACCTCCGCGCAGTCTGATCAGGATCCATGCTGTTCGCTTACCAACTCTATTACGAGTAGAGAAACTGAGAGCGAACAGCATAGATCCTGATCAGACTGCGCGGACGTGCAGGCTGGTCTGGATCCATGCTGGTCGCAAACGCACAATGTTGGTTTTGTCGGGACGCGGCCCATTTCTCCATAAAAGTGCCAGGAGAGGATAGTAATCAAAGTTTGATAGAATAATTGAGTAATATAAGATTATAATTTTTTTTACCTATATTCTTTACACAAGTGTTGAGTTGTTTTGAGGCTATTTTTTTTACAAATGTAAGACATATGTTTATCAAATTTGAGTTAAAAACAAAAATGTCTCCTAGAGGTTTAACAGATTCATCTCACCATTTAAATTGGAACTTGTATTTTGATCCCTAGTTTTTTAATCGATAGCAATGGCCTGGGATTTGTCGGTTTTTGCTTTTATATGATTATCCGAACCATTTTATTATTGACTGGCTATCAGACTCTAAAAATTCAACAATATTGTCAATGTTTGTATCACTGCTTATAGAATGTTTTCATCTTCACGATTATGAAGATCAGAGATGTGTACAATATCAAAAATGTCATTGATAAATACATTGTATGTTAAATAACACATAACCTTAGATAGAACCTCGGGTAACCCCGATTATAAATATCTTTGAAAGATCTGAAATAAGATCAAAATTTGACGCATTGATTTTTGTTGTTAAATAGTTATATTATAAATCCAGGGCTTGATCAGAGACTCCATACCATCTAAGTTTCATGAGGAGATCATAGAGTAGGCAGTCAAAGTCTTTTGATAGATCCATTGGAATATCTGCCACATATTTATTATCATCCAGAGATCTTTTCTAGTCCTTAGTAATTTTAAGTAGAGTGCTTTGACACACTGGTCTTAAAGCAGATAAATAAATATTAAAATGACCATTTAAAAAAATCAATAAGCTGGGTCCCCTGCCCTGTATACCATTATTGCTTTCCATCCCATGTCTTATACCATTATTGCTTGCCCTCCCCATGTCTTATACTATTATTGCTAGCCCTTCCCTGTCATATACTATTGTTGCTTGCCCTCTCGTGTCTTATACCATTGTTGCTTGCCCTCCCAATGTCTTATATCTTTGTTGATTGCCCTCCCCTGTTTTATACCATTATTGCTTGCCCTCCTCTGTCTTATACCATTGTTGGTTGCCCTCCCCTGTCTTATACCATTTGTTGCTTGCTCTTCCCTGTCTTAAACCATTGTCGCTTGCCCTCTTATGTCTTATACCATTGTTGGTTGCCCTCCCCTGTCTTATACCATTGTTGCTTGCCATCCCGTCATATAATATTGTTGCTTGCCATCCCCTGTCATATACCATTGTTGCTTGCCCTCCCGTGTCTTATACCATTGTTGCTTGCCCTCCCATGTCATATACTATTGTTGCTTGCCCCCCCTGTCTAATACCATTGTTGCTTACCCTCCCCTGTCTTATACCATTGTTGCTTGCCCTCCCCTGTCTCATATTTTTGTTGCTTGCCTTCCCCTGTCTTATACCATTATTGCTTGCCCTCCCCTGTCTTGTACCATTGTTGCTTACCCTCCCCTGTCTTATACAATTATTGCTTACCCTCCCCTGTCTCATACCATTGTTGCTTGCCCTCCCCTGTCTTGTACCATTGTTGCTTGCCATCCCCTGTCTTGCAGTTTTATTGCTTGCCCTGCCCTGTCTTATAACATTGTTGTTTGCCATCCTCTGTGTTATTCCTGACATAAACTATTGTTGCTTGCCCTCCCTTGTCTTATACTATACCAGTAGTATCTGCATGGGACGGCAAAAAAACCCCTAGGACGTTGAATTCCATCAATATCAACAGCACTTTTCTATTTTTCCATATTATTTTAATTGCTCAACAGTTGCTTTTTGCAAAAACATAAAAAAGAGAAAAACAAACCTACTATTATATTGACTATTATATTGAATGTTATCCTTAAAGATATTTCAGCACGACATTGTTGTTTTGTTTGAGGAAAATTTAGTTCTTTCTATTTGGCATTTGGCTTTTGGTAGTTGGGTGGTTCCAGTACCCCTTACTTGAACACTGTATATCACACATTTCATTTGTTACCTGCTTTTTAAATTTGTCATTTGAAAGCTTATCTTTGATATGCAGACTTTATAATCTCTGATATTTTTTCAAAATTCCATTTTATTTAGTATCGTCGATTGATTGTTGTTGTTGTTTGCCTTTTCACAGGGAATCTTTTAATTATACGGCGTTTTTATGGAATGGCACCTAGCATATAAGTGCCTCATTGAAGGTTCCATGATAACTGTAAGAGTGTTTCTTAATTCAAAATTTCACAATAACCAATTTTGCTTTAGCCGGTGCTAGCCGGCGTCGATGGTAATTAGCACTTTCCAGACTCTATGAACCAAGCTTGAAATCTTTTTCAATTTTATCGTATTAGACGTTCTTTAGGGATTATTTTTCTCTCTATTTTAGATACATTTAATATTTTAGCATAAAGAATACAAAATATATTTAACAAACTGTTTTATTTTTACAAAATTTTACTTTTAAAACATAAGTGACAGGCTCAATCAAACCGAGCCTGCAACATTTTTAATTTTGTCGTTGTGCGCGTTCTTTAGGGATTCAGTTTGTATCTGTTCAATAAATGAAGAATTTGGTAACAAATGTATTATACTTAATACAAATGATAATGCAGTCCAAATGTAAAGGAAATATCTCTAATTCACCCAAAACAATATCATTACATGCCATTTTATTAACGCTTAAAATAGAAAAAAACTGAATTCCTAAAGAAAGCCCAACACGGCAAAATTGAAAATGTGCAGGTTCGATTGATTGAGTCTATACATGGACGGTACTGGAAAGTGCAAGTTACCGTCCACGCCCCCTTACACCGGCTTAAGCATAATTCAACATTTAAACACGAAAATGGTGGAACCTTGAATTAAGAAACATCAGCAGATGTGTTCAGTACACGTACATATGTTGTATGTTAGTTTTTACAGGGTTTATCATTTAAGCGTTGAAATAGGGAAAACCTCCCTTTATTCACTCTAGCAATTGCTATATTCAGAGTATCCAAGATTTAACAACAAGTCTGACAGAATCGTCAAACAAACGCAACAAAGTACTCAAATATTTGATAGCTTTGCTTAGTTTAAAATTTGCTTTCAATGCCTTTTTTTGAACACTGTAAAACAACCTGAGATGAAATAGCATTCCAAGATATTTATATATTCCAAGTAGGTGCCAGGTGCTGGGTGGCAGTTGAAAAAAAAATGCCCCGTACTTGACTTCAGTGTTGTCTGGTCCTTTGGAATCATTTATTCCATCCCTTTTAAGTGTTGAAAATTGAGTACCGCTAAAGCCAGTGCAACGAGGCATGACACAAGATATTATCAAGCTTCATAAATTAAGCTAGATATGGTTCACAAATGTTTTAAAAGTAAACATTGACAATTAATAACAAAATCTCATGTGTATTGATACTTACTTATTTTTTGTAAAAGAATTGAAGCAACAATTAAAACATGATACAATAAAACATTGACAAAACGAAACATTGATACAACGAAACCTTACTAATAAGGATCACTGATACAATGATACATTGATATAGCGAAACACTGATACAACGAAACATGGGTAAAACGAAACATTGATACAGCGAAACATGGAGAAAAACAAAACATTGATACAACAAAACATTGATATAACGAAACACTGATACAACGAAGCATGGGTAAAACGAAACATTGATACCTCTAAAAATTGATAAAATGAAACATTGATATAGTGTTACATTGTTACAGTACATTGATATAAAATATTCTTATACAAAGAAACATTAGGTACAGAGAAATATTGAATTAAAATAAAAAACACTTATACAACGTTATTTTTAGTACCAAAAATCATAGATATAAGGAACCATTGTTAGAATGAAGACAGATTAAGTACTTGAAATAACGATACATTGATTTAACAATGATACAGCGACACATTGATAAAACGAAATACTTGTACAAAGAAACATTGATACAATAAAGCACTGATACTATAAAGCATTAACACATTGATACCTTTGATATAACGAATCTTAGACGTAACGAATCTTTGATGTAACGAATCTTTGATGTAACGAATCTTTGATAAACGAAACATTGATAAGATGAAGCATGCATTCTAAAAGAATGCAGATACAATATTACTATGCTTTAAACAATTCTACCACAATGTGTGCATTAAAATTATGACAAATGTTTAGAAAGAAAATTAATGACGTGTTTTCTGAAGAGAATTATTTTACTTGACAGTTTCGTCAATGCATGACTTAAAGGCAAGATTACATTGTAATTAGCAGACAAACTCTTCTTTATACAAAAAAAAAAAAAAAAAAAAAACAACAAAAAACAAAAAACAAAAAAAAAAAAAAACAGATATACAGATATTAATCAGGTAGCTCGTAAAACTTTTAATCATCTTTGCTTCCGAACTTGTTACACCCATCTAATACACGATTTATCCATTCACTGACTGCTGGGTGTAGAAGATTTAGGAAAATACTGTAGTTGTTTTTCTGTTTGCAATCACGGGTTTTCAGTGCTAGGCCTAGGCTGAAGAACCTCTTGTCGTGCATCTGTACCATGAATGGACCTCCAATGTCACCCATGCATGAGTCACTGAAAAGATGATATAGAGATGATATCTCTTTCAGTAGTTATACTGTACCTTCAAGATTGAAATTTGAAAAATTAAGATTGTGAATGCCATGTATGTTTATATATATTCTTTTTATATTATCCAGGAGATCATCGGATTTGTAATCCAGTGGTCACTGGTTTATCATTGGGTGATGCGAAATTTCTCCGTGACAATTGATCACTGACTTTTAATCTGATGGTCATAAAATTTTGTTGAATTTGCAGTCGGTTAAAGAGACCTCCAAAGCTGGGCTATTAAGGCCACCGATCACAAATTACTTGCCACTTACCCTGTGGGTTTCGAATCATGTTCAAAATTGTATGAGGAAACTAAGGGTGGTCGTAGGTTCTATTCAGGTGACCGCTTGTGCCTGAATAAATGCACAAAGAGGCACTTGAAGCAGTCCTAGGGTTAGGGTTAAGGGTGGTCGTAGGTTCTATTCAGGTGTCCGCTTGTGCCTGAAGAAATGCAAGAAGAGGCACTTGAAGCAGTCCTAGGGTTAGGGTTAAGGGTGGTCGTAGGTTCTATTCAGAGGTGTCCGCTTGTGCTGAAGAAATGAACAAAAGAGGCACTTGAAACAGTCCTAAGGTTTAGGTTAAGTTTGGTCGTAGGTTCTATTTAGGTGTCCGCTTGTGCCTGAAGAAATGCAAGAAGAGTGCACTTGAAGCAGTCCTTGATTAAAAAAGCTGGAACGATTCTGGAAATGTTAACATAGATTTTCTTTAATAAATTTTAAATATACCTTTCTTCAAATTCCTCTCCAACGCAGAAAAGCGATCCAAGTCAATATTCTCGTACCTCCTCTTTGCAATACTTTTGTTTCACAATCAGATCTCTGATTCTGCATCATTTTTGAATGCAGTAGACTTGTATGATATATGTTATATCTGGTGCATTACCCACCCGGCGGTGAATGTGTTGATATGACTCGAGAATGACTGCGATATTCTGAAGTACGTCTTCGCAGCTTTAAGAGAATCTTTAGCTTAAATAAACGGATACAATTTAATAAGTGACATATGAAGTAATACACAAAGGAGAAACCCCTCTTAAGCAACGAATAATAATAATAATAATGATAATAATAATAATAATAATAATAATAATAATAATAATAACAATGATAATGATAATAATAATAATAATAATAAAAATAATAATAATAATGATAATAATAATAATAATAATAATAATGATAATTATTATAATAATAATAATAATCATCATCATAAAAATGATAATAATAATAATAATAATAATAATAATGATAATAATAATAATAATAATAATAATAATAACAATGATAATGATAATAATAATAATAATAATAATAATAATAATAATAATAATAATAATAATAATAATGATAATGATAATGATGATAATAATAATAATAATAATAATAATAATAATAATAACACCCCCCCTCCAAAAAAAAAAAAAAACCCCAAAAAACAAACAAAAAAAAACAACAAAAAACAAACAACAAACAAAAAGCAACAACAACAAAAACACCCTCTCTTAAGACCCCAACAACCAACCTCATGAGCAGTCTGAAAAAACACTGTGTTAAGATCATGAAGGTATAATCTGTTTACAAAAGCTATCAATAACATGGTGTGTTTACAATAAACAAATGATAGATCATCTATCATGTATTACTCTAGCAGCAGGAGCTTAATTAGATTTATTAATTGAATATTTTATGTACCTGTTGCGACACAAATTGGTCGCAAATATTTATTAAAGACTGGTCGTTCGGATTCTTTCTGCCCAAAATCCAGCAAGGCTACGTCGTTAGCATAAATACCAAGACTTCCTATTTCTTCTCCCGTATATTTGTCATGAATCATAACATCGTGAACGATTGGCCAAATCTCGTTTGTGTCCTCTTTCAAAATATCATAATCACTCAGAAAAACATTCATCTGTGAGAGAGAATGACAAATAATTAGAATACGCATTAATTTGTACAGCAAAAGATATTTACAGCACCACACCTTACAATTAATTTTACTACTACGAGTTCATTGATAATTTTAACAAACGTGTTTGGAGCGCAGAACATATCTAATAACCGATTTTCGACTGTTGTAATTCCCTAGGCAATTTGCCGAAAACCTAACATCATCCAAACCAGCACCCGCATTTATAATTCGTGCCCTTACTTTTTATAGAATTACATCGCATATAATTCATGCTTATCTATGAAATTAACGATGGGTACTTAGTCAATTGATATACTGACTACCGTATCTTAGTCAATTGATATACTGGCTACCGTATCGTGTCAATTGATATACTGGCTACCGTATCGTGTCAATTGATATACTGGCTACCGTATCGTATAAAATGTCGAGTGTAATTACCAAAATGCATTTGTATATTTTCTGTTTCTCAGTCATGTGAACAGAAATAAGATAAATTATATTCTCCGGTCATAATATCATTGATCTTTCTTACTTTTAAAATGTAGTAATGTTTGTTATACACAAGAAAGATGTAGCTTGGTTTAGATTCATGTTTAACTTTTTTGTGAGATCTTGGGCATGTCCCTTTTTACAAAGTTTGTGCAATCGGTTTGTCGTATATTTTCCTTAAATTTATGCCAGACAAAGCACGTAGACAAGTAAAAGAAAGTAAAGATAACGTTTTCTTGCATATCATACAGGATTATCTACCGTTTACACCGGTGCTAGAAAACTCTGTCTTACACCCCCATGTAAGACAAGTCGCGTGCTTTAAATGGCGTCATTGACGCGCGTCTTTCATGAATGAATCGCGTTCTTATGATGACGTCATTTTTCCGTTATGAATGAAGTTGTATGTTCATACGCTACTATAAGAAAAAAGTGCGTAATTGGAATATCAGTTTTCATAATTTCTGTTCCGAAAATAATTGACATGTAATATGCAAGAAAAAGAATCAAACACCGGCTGTTGGTACAGACGGGAATATCTAGCTCTCGGGTAACTGTTTAGCGGAAACTCGGCAAAGCTTCTTACCCTCGAGCTAGATATTCTGGTCTGTAGCAGCAGCCGGTGTAAGATTCTTATAATACCAGGCCTAAAGGAAGATACGCCCCTGCATAATTTTGTGTCTGTTTATTACTAAGGGAAAATATATTAACTAGTTCAATCGAACAGAGTCTACGATTTTCTATTTTAATAATATTATTACTTTATATGCTTCCGAAGGTCATCTACTTTACAGCTTTTGTTACAATGTATTTGGTACTAGTATCCTGAATTACGCTACAGTAACAATGAGCTAAAGTTAAATATAGTTTCAGCTGTGTACGGGTGTAAATATAAAAAAAATTAATGTTTCAAAACATGTGTAATAAAGACAATCTATCCATTAATTTCGCCGATTATTTTTTAATAATATTTTGAAATGATGCCTTGAGCCAAATATATTTCATTAAGTGCGATCATGCTGGTAAGTCTGGGATAAAACTGCTTTCTGTATCAGATTACTATAGCATGATCTATGGGATTTAGGGCATTTCCTCTGACCACTAAACCCCGCCAATACCACGACTAGACCTCCGCCAAAATGACCATGTTCTTCAACCCAAACTGGTGAAAAGCGCTGATTAGGCATTCTACAAACTTTAACACACATGTTCGGGAAGTCTACACAGAACCTAGACTGATATGTGAAAGGAACAGGGGCCCAGTCATATTGGGTACATGTACAATGATTTCGTGCTCATTTCTAACCATCTTAGATATGCTTCATTGTCAATGGGGTGCATTTTGCAAGCAAAAATAAAGAACAGGAACCATACAGAACGTCCAAAACGATAAAATTGGAATGTTGCAGGCTCGGTTTGACTGAACATGTTAGGACAGTGGTGAAATTTGCATGCTACCGTTCTAACCCCCTTAGCACCTGCTAAAGCACAATTCAACATTGAAACACAAAAATGGTTCAATTCTCAATTTTAGGAACATCAGCCCTATTTCATGTAACCAATTTCTTACAGGTTGGTGTACTTATACGCACACCGGTAGCATTCTGAATCAGTTGCTGAACAATCGGTCTTTAGCTTCAGTGGTTAAGAGTTCTCGACCTCCAACATGCAAATGCAATACATTTCCAGTTGTAAGGAATGGATTTTCCATTCTTGAATAGGTCCTGGGTTCACGCAAATTATATTCGCAACCTGTCGCTATTGGGGCCCAACTTGAAGCATTCAAATGGCACTATTCATTTCAGACTTGCTTAGATAATCTGCCAAAATAACATGGAGTTTACGAAAAGACGATCCTTATCCAATTTTGAGCAGTATATCTAAATCAACTTTAAGCTTTTTTTTTATGCCCTTTCCTGTTTTGATTTAGGTCCTGTTGGGCTCCTTGCTGTGGTTCTGCGTTTATGGGTCGTGTAGGGGTTTCGTTCATTGAACGCCACCCTACTTTGTTGGTCTTGTTTATCATATTCTGTAACAGTGAGCTTGTGGAATCACCAAATGTCAAATTCGCCGGTTTTATGTTACAACAACGTTCACAGTTTAACTTTCAAACAATCACTTTCATACCACAAGGTCGAAAGTGATTAAACTTGGCAGAATTAATATTTTCATCCTTGAAGAACTCTGTTTGTCATGGCTGTGATAGAAAAAACAGTTAAATAATTTATTAGAAGGAAGTAGGGTTAGGTTTAGCCGCAAGCCGCAAGCCCCGAAAACGCACGGAACCACAAAGTTGCAAAGCTATGTTGAAAGCTTGGTTTGACTAAAATAGATAAATACAGAATCCCTAAAGAAAGCCCAACACGGCAAAATTGAAAATGTTGCAGGCTCGGTTTGATTGAGCCTGTTCATGGACGGTACTGAAAAGTGCAAGTTACCGTCCACGCCCCCTAGCACCGCCTTAAGCAGAATTCAACATTTTAACATGAAATAGTAAAATTTTGAATTTAGAAACATCCGCAGACGTGTTCATATGGCGGGTATCATGGAACCTTCAATGTGACACTTCCGTGCCATTCCATGAAAAGCGGCGTATGGTCCCCAAGTAATAAAAAGCGTGTGCCCTAAACGAGAAAACAAAGGGCGGAACTAAATAAAATGGAATTTTGAAAGGGGATCAGAGGTTATAAAGCCAGCGTCTCACAGATAAGACGTCAAAAGACAAATTTAAAAAGCAGGCAACATATCCCAAGGGTGATTCAACACCATCCAAGTAGGAATATTGGAACCACCCAGCTACAAAATGCCGAAAAGTTGAAACCAAAAATACCACAAGCACAACAATAATGTCGTGCTGAACGATTTTCAAGGATCGAAAATATAACATCATTGATTAAATGTACGGGGAGACTTTTTACAGCCGCCACACGGCACAAATAACACGGATGTGATCTGTTGGTGAACGGTACAGAAAAGTGCAAGGTTCTGTACACGCCACCTTACACCGGCTTAAACCGAATACAGCATTTATACATCTCGAATTTAGAAGCATCCATAGAGCTTTGATATTAAGCCTATGCCATAAATTGTTGAACCTCATTTACACTTGCTTCATTGGGCGAGAAACAACGAATTATGCACTTTTTCCAAATTTTGAATTTGTTTTCGTTTTCAAAATCACAAAGAAAGGAATAAATAATAATATTTTTTAATGAGCAGCAAGTTGATGTTTAATTAAAATTTGATCATCAGTAAAGTACGTGCGTCAGAATTGATCCACTATTGTTATGCATGCAGATACATTGTACAATAGGACAGTCATCTCAAGCGTTTGATAATCGGCGCGTTTCAACATTTTGCGTCATTTTACGACAATCTCCGATACCTTTCGACATTCATCTTCAGTATGGTAAGTGTCCATGATCCCTGACATGTTTTTTTTTTACTTTTTGCTGCATGATTCGACAAACTCCGGTTAACAAATTGCGTCAAGTTTATTTCAAATTCAGTACTTCTAGAATGTTCTACATGTTAAAGACATTCCTAGTAAGTTTCAAAATTCTTCTTCAGCATGTGTTGATACCCTTTGTTATTCAATCATTTCTCAGTATGTTCCGACATACTTTGGTGCTTGTTTTGACAATACTTCCCGGTATGTTCCAACACCCTTTGGTGCTTGTTTTGACATATACATGCAGTCTAACTCTCCTTTCTGGATACTTTTTACATTTTAAAATATTCTCTGACATGTTTTTACCACTAATGTAATCAAACATTTATGATTTCGTGAAGATTATACGGGTTTTAAACGCATTTGGTTGCTTGAAAAAAAATCTAAAAAATAGTGTATGCCTCGGAAGCAATAAAAACGACTAAATAACAAGAAAAAATATAAACACGTTTCGATTGAGTCTATTCTTGAGTTATATTGGAAAAGTGCAACCTCAAAAGTTAAGAGTTATTCAATGTTCAACACCAGAGAAATTTAACAAAACTTAAAGGATGAAGAGACAACTTCATAACATCTGTAACACGGCACGCGAGATCCGGCACGCGACATCCGGCACGCATTCGGCACGCGACATCCGGCACGCGACATCCGCTGTTGTTATGCACACAATTCTGGAAAAAGGTAGCTGCGTTGGGAACAAAGACAACTACAGAAATACACGAAATTACAGATAACGTTTGACTGAGTCTGTTTAAGTTGAGTCGAAAGTAAAAATAAATTTACAAGCTGTCACGTGATGTATCAATCCCTTCAAATGTACAAACCCTTGACGTCTTATACGGAACCACTTGACCACCTTTTTTCCTAGACACACAGCTAGCAGTTGTGAGAAACCACCGGTCACAAACTACGGCACCCCCACATGTATGAGGTATGTCTTCGTCATCTAAAACACTCAACCAACCCAACCATGGCCACGCCCCCTGTAAGAAATAGATATACACGTATCACTATTCTTTCTTTTTTTTGTTGGGAAAACAATATTAATGAATGGGCAACATTATTTTTATACTCATGAATATGTGATTTTTACAGTGTAATTTAATATCAACTTTTATTAAACATGTTCAGGAAAATGTTCATTGAGCCTCTGATGAGTTTTTTATTCCCCTGAAAGTACATATCAAATGACAATGAGTGTCAGATTTTGTTTTTATCTCATTACTAAATTTGCCTGAACGATGCGTATACTTTATTTTATTTATAAACTGACATTTTAGTGACCTTTTTCCAAGACTCTACCTTCACTTTATATTGAATAATTGAATTTTCATCAAACACTGACTTTTTCTACATACTTAAAATTTCAATGTTTATTGTGTACATGTACTTCTATTTACCTCCTCTGCTCTCTCTGAACGTGATAATTTAACCATATTTTCTGAAACACCACACTGTCCGTAATCTGAAACAAAAAATACATTTCATGGTTTATCACATTCTCGTGCCGCTTTTGCGACTCCGTAAAACGGTATTGCAAAGCGGTGCATGTATTTTGACGTGACATCATTTGCGTTGTACAAACATGTATAGCGTTAAGGATCCTGTAACACTCTTTTTATGGTTTTATTTCATAATATGATGCTCAAATTAGGATTTGTCAATATTGTAAGTTACAATAAGCATTATCTATTAAGATATTACCAAATTTAACATTTGCCATTGACGCACCTATAGTGTAACGCTCAAATTTGCGCGCTGTTTGATTGTAAATCAAATGACGTCACATACAAGTGTTATTACACTAGTGAAATATCGTTTTCATCAAATTACTTTATATTTACACTTCTACGCCGAATTTAATGTTTCAGAAATAATATTGGTCTGAGCGGTGCTTGTCGTTTTGATCACAGACGCTTGGGGATCAGATCCTGCCCCCAGCGTGATACACCCCTGTAAACGCTCTATCAAAACTATTTTAATATTTAAACACAAATGGGACATCTATTGCAATTCAAACAATTTTTACATACATGAAAAATTACCGTATACCATCAAGTCTCAATACTTGATTGTGATATTTTTGTGAAGTTTAAGATTTTTTTCTTTCATCTAAGAATCGCAAATTTAAATAAAAAATATGATAAATAGAAAACCAAACATGTGTCTCATAAACATATAATTAATTTCTTCAGACTCGGCAAAAAAATAAAATTAATAAGTTATAAATTAAAAAAAATGGAGAAGAATAAATAAATTGAAAGACTCGACAGAACTCCGCGTTATTTTATAAGTCTTGCCTGATCAGCCACAAGCAGGGGGCGATTTGCCGAGTGGTTAAGGTCTTTGACTTCAAACCACTTGCCCCTCACTGCTGTGGGTTCGAATCCCGACAGGGATCCCAACAGGGACTTTGGATTCTTTCATGTGAGGAAGCTATCCAGCTAGCTTACGGAACGTCGGTGGTTCTACTCAGGTGCCCGTTCGTGCTTGAAAATAATGCACGGAAGGGCACCTGAGGTCTTCCTCCACCAGTAAAGCTGGAACGTCGCGATATGACATATACTGTGTCGATGTGACATAAAACCCAAAACAAATAAAAAAAGACACAAGCATAGTAATATTTATAACCTTAATACAGTATTGACGATGGGATATTATAAGTTATAATTTATATGGCCCTTTATAATACTGCACGTTTGTAACGTCATTTTTCATTGGATAATCGTGACGTTTATTTTATATGTTATTTTGGTTTTGGAGTGATATATGTGGATATCTTACCTGTCAAGATCACCCGAGCCATTAGGATTTCTTCGTGAATCGACAGCAGCCGTGTATATAAAACTATATAAACGTTACAATTATCCAATGAAAAGCGACGTTACAAACGTGCAGTTTTATCAACTCGTATATAGTCGTATATTTTCTCCTCTGAAGCTATGTGTCAAATGGCTTATTATACGCTACTCACTAATACACGTATCTTATCTATTTATAACAAATCAATCTATATGTATATATCAATTACATCAAATAAAGTAACTGGTATTCAACAATTAGCTGAAACAAAGTAATAAGTAAAATACCAATGTTTTTCCCTGTTATACTTTGTCCTATTTTCTCCAGGTCTTTAATTTTAGACAAGGAAAAAACGTGTCGAGGTGTTGAGGCTATTTCAGTCAAGGTATTGTAGTCTATGGTTTTTCCAATTCCAATACAAAATATCTCGAAATTACCAACTGCAAAATAATAATAATAATAATAAAAATAATAAATAAACAACGAACTAAAAAAGAAAATGGAGAAGAAATCAATCATGTCAAAAGCATAGTTATGTATCGAAACTTTTCATTAAAATGTACTAAAACACTTAGATGGCGGGAATTCATATTGGCCAAAGAACAGAATTTATAATTTTTAAAAATAGTTGTTTATTTTTGCCCCATCCACTAATCAGCCACACACTCAAAATCCGGCATAAATTACAAATATATATATATATTATATACATGTAGGTACACTTCATAAAGAATCACTATACTAGAGGATCCGTCCAGTTCCTCTAAATTTAATATCTGTCTATACCGCAGTCATTGACACTTCTAAAAACTGTATAATCATACGTTTAAATTTTAAAGATCCTGTAACACAATTTTTTTATGGTTTTAAATCATAAATATGATGCTCAAATTAAGATATTACAAAATTTAACATTTCATGTAAATAAAGGAAGGTAATAAATTTTTAATTTTCTATAAAGTTTAAGTCAAGTTTTACCATAAGAAATGAATGCACATATTTAAATGATTACATATGATATGCACACATATTTTTAATATAGAACCATAAAAAATGTGTTACAGGATCTTTAACAACAGCTTGTAAAGACTGGATCACACTTATCACGCGTCGATAACAAACAACTGTTTATGACATCTTTAAAGAAAAATAACTGTCAGGATAATTTCAGTGTCAGTACAATTACCAGTTTTTAAGGTGTTTGCTACTGTCCTGATACGGTCCTTCCGGACATTACTCGTCTCCTCCGCGTCCGTGAGAAGAAATATTACACGTGTTCCATCGCTCATTCGCCGTCGATCTTTCATGATAACAGGAAAATGGATTTCTCTAATCACTGTATGTAAAGCGGTCATTAAATTTGTACCACCGCCAGAATTCTAAAAGGAATTTTATGTATTTAAGTAACTTAGATTTCTAACAACTTATACCCGAGTAGTCGACAATTTAAGCTTATTCTCTATTATATATTTGCACGAGATGTCTATTAAAGAAATCACCCACAAATCATCACAATATAACCACACACATGTCTACAATATAACCACACACATGTCTACACAAATTTCTCCCTAACATATCTCAACAACCACTATACCTACTACCACTCTACAACACATATCTCCGGCATACATCTAAAACAAACCCCAAACACATGTCTCTACCAATATTTACTCACCGACACGTCTCTACTACAACAAGATAATTATGTTTATACAATTTGTATGTACCCCCACCCACCTAAATGCCAGCAAATTGGTCATGTGTTCCGTTACTGGTCGGAAACTATTTATATACAAAATGTCAACGTGTCCTTGATCCTAAAATAAGTAGGGCTAATCTACTTGCCAAGACCATTGTACCTGTGAAGTTTGATGTCGGAAATAATATAAATATGAAATAAAAGGCCAGTATGACCTTGACCTTTGAACCTTTGACACCTAAATTAATAGGGTTCATTTACTTGCAATAAAACACGGCTGATTGTATGTTTATGATTGGTAGATATCATCACTTGCTTAAAGAATAAAAGAAAAGAAAACTTCTCAAGTAGGCCTACAGTACACTTAAAACTTAAAAGATAAGGACATTTTGTTATTGTTACTCTTGATATATTTTTGTTACTGACAATTTCAGATCATCACAGTATTTGTTCGGGGTATTAAAAAAAATAACACATGGGTTTTTGAGTAACAGTAAAAATATCATCCCTCATAAAAATACTGTTACCCGAGGCGTAAAGTTGCAGAAATATTTTCCTCGGGATGATATTTTATTATTACCCCTCACTTTTTTCGTAATGCTTATTTCCTATAGGCCTCTGGGAGTTATTTTTACTGTTAATGCAAGTGTACCACGTGATTAAGAATTTTGTACTGTTACAGAGGTAACAGTATTTTTTAACAGTATAAAATCTGGTCACGTGGTCTATTTTCTAAATGAAATGAATTAAAATGGCCGCCATTTTTTTCTCGATTCATTCTTATTTTCGACGTTTAACCCCGATAGGACATCAATTTCTTCTCTGGAGTATCTATGACACCCATAAAATTTAGTAGTTCGCACCCTGGTGTGCTTTTCGTGTATAAAATATCTTTTTGTTGAATAGTCAAAAAGCGAACATCCGTTTTCAACGGAAGTACTTGCAATGTAAATAATTATGTGTTAAACTGGAACATGCAGACGATTTAATCATGCAACAAAGGATTATTTAACAATTTTAATCAGTGAAACGTTACAGAGATGGTGGACAGACATAGGATATCATCGTTATTTTGTCAAAAACCATGCTAAGAATATTCTGGAAACAGAAGGATCAGATTTCACAGATCATAACCGTGTAAATGGGTTAGTGTTTTGTTTTCTAAATAAAACCTAGCTTATTGTATGTTTATGATTTGTAGATATCATCACTTGCATCAAGAATAAAAGAAAAAGAAAACTTCTCAAGTAGGCCTAAAGTACACTTAAAACTTAAAAGGTAAGGACAATTTAGTTATTGTTACTATTGGTTTATTTTTGTTACAGTTAGATTTAGTTGACAATTTCAGATGAGTATTTTTGTTCGGGGTAATAAAATAAATAACACATGGGTTTGTGAGTAACAGTAAAAATATCATCCCTCGTAAAATACTGTTACCCTCGGCTACGCATCGGGTAACAGTATTTTCCTCGGGATGATATTTTTACTGTTACCCACAAACTCATGTGTTATTTATATACTGTTACCCACAAACCCATGTGTTATTTATATACTTTTCTAGTGGAATTTGGTTATACACAATATTAATGACTAAAAAAGATTTCACTTATGTGAAAAAAAACAGTAAAAGATATGAAGTGAAGTGTCAGATGAACTCATGTGAGATAAGATTTCAATCGGGTTGAAAGTAGTTCTACCACGTAGTGCCAGATGTAAATAAAAACAGAGGGTGTAATCTTTGATAATGTTTAACGAATGTACGATATATATTTGACATCAAAAGGATAATAATTAAAGTCTATTTTGGTAAAACAACACTACTATATTTATCTAAGAACGCTGTCTTTTAACCATGGTTTTCGTTTTCTGCCTATCTAAGTACATGTCAAACAAATCCTCTTGTCATATAAAACTTTATTTCTTCTCAGCGACGAGCACGCTCAAAGAGTCAATATTTAAACTAGAAAAAAACAACCACATTTTCCAAACAAAAACTGATTAAATATATAAGATATATTATAAGCATAATAAGCACAGGAAGAGCCTAACCTGTATATTGTCAATTCTTTTCTTCACTTCGGTTTTGGATCGTGCGGTTCTATCATTCAGGTTGAAAACAACATCTGCCTGATCACTAAACGTGATAAGAGCAAATCGTGTTCCATCTGTTCCTACAATTAGACAAAATTTGTGTTAATGTGACAAGAAATACGACAGTGACAATCGTCTGTATGACATTAAGAGACACAAGAAATAGAAAAAAAATAAACGTTCGACATTTATTACACAGTTGACAATCGTTTTTTACAATATACTTTTTCCAAGTGAGACAATTTTGATTGATATTCTAAAAATGGTATATAAAGATAAAATATACCTCCGGACTCTTCTCTGGAAACACCAAAAGAATCTACGAGTAGCTTCATAAATTTCTTAGCCAAATGAAATGACCTGTCCCCAATGCTGGAGGATACATCAACAAGTAATACGACATCGAGGCCGCTTTTACCAGGGCTTAAACGAGCTGTAATTTATCAGAAATTTATCACAGACATTACTATAACAAGACCGCTTTTACCAAGGCTTAAACGAACGGCTGAAATTTATTTATTTATGCAATTTAAGTATGAATAATAAAAATAAGATGAACAGTTGGATAGATAGATAGCTAGATAGCTGCAAAAAAGTAAATCCAAACACATAAATGAAAATAAAAAAATAAACGATTATCTTACTTTTTATCTTTGTTGATAAACTGCTCAAATCAATATTTAAGACAGACTCACCATTACTTATTTGAAAGAAATACTGTTCGTTTTCAATTTGTGATGCCAGGTCGCTCATCGTATAATAGCCTATTGTATCTGTTTTTTTAAGTCTTGAAGCGGCATCAGAATGATCACCTATAGTTATAAATCTCCCGGTTAAAGTATGCTTTTATAGGCAATATTCTAAAGCTTTTCTTAGGCAATATTCTAAAGTATTTCAGAAAAAAATAAATCTGAATAAGTAAGAGTCTGCTTTACAACGTTAAGTGAACTATGTCTATCTATGTTGTCATCTTTTATAAGTGCATGCAGCTTTAGTTGATGAAACTTCTCTTTTTATAAATCAAGAGACAGTAAAATTTGGGTTAAAAGAATATTCTTGTATATTAATATAATAATAATAGTACATGTAATAATAGTAACACAACAGCAATTATACCAATATTATTTCCAATGTTGAAAAATGAAAGGAGCAACAACAGAACATGAATACAGGTGAAAGACGAAAGGACTTAAAGTGTGTATAATATGTGTAATGTCTAGAATAAGACAATTCAATTTGTTTATTAACTAAAGTATCAAAGTGACTGACTCATTCATATTCTTTCGACAGACATGCAACTAAACAATCTATTTAAAAATATGTGCATCATTCATTCATTCATTCATTTATATTAAGACATGTTATTATTCTGTCTTTAAAACATTACATATTGTCAAAATTGCGAATATTTAAAAGTGTACTGTTCCAAATGTTCATGCCATGATAAGAAAATATATCTTTCAGATCTTGTCCATAAAACAGTATCATTTCATGAGATATAGCTTAAATTGTATTTTTTTTATTTGCTGTTATGACTTTAAGATTAGTGTCATGTTATTCAATATTTTAAAAATAAGGAATGCCTTGTGGTATTTACATCTGTCAAGGAATGGTAACCAGTAAAGAGATTCGAATACCTCCGTTGTTCGAGATCTTTTTCGTTGCTGTAAAATGATTTCAGCAATTGTTGTTAAAACTGATTGTTATTTATGTTGTGTAGTTTGTGTTTCCTTTATCCCATAAACAATGTAATATAAAAAATGGTCAAAAATGGACAGTATACAATGTTTCTGGATTTTAAATTATTAATTTAAAAAAAAAAAAAAAAAAAAAAAAAAAAACACGTGTTTTTTTTTCAAAATCGAAAAATTATTTTAATTGCTTAAGAGTCCCGGTATTTTTTCACTGTGTACACCTTTTAACAATGTATCTTTAAAGAAATAGATTCAATATTACAATAATGATTTTTGCAATATCCTGATTGTTTATTATGAATTATATTGGTTTTTGCGAAGCATGAGTGTATTTGTTAGGCGATATGGCGTTCAAATATTTTTGATATACAAAATGTATGCCCGTCGGTATTATTTGCTTCATTCTTATCCCCACCGCCGTTAAAATAGGATATAACTCTACCTCTTTTTAAATCATCTTAGAAAGTACAGCTATTATTGATACTTAATACAATCATTGGTTTAATATAATCTCAAAAAAGATTGACAATATTTATCAAAAATACTATCACATTAAGACCGCTTTTGCTTAACCAGCATGGTGTACACCGGTCTTACTGACCTGTGTGAAACCACTCTAAGCATGATGGGAACGCACTTCTTTTAACATGGCGGCTTGGACGCGCGTGATAGTATTTCGTCCATTGTTAGTTTAAAACCGAAAGTGAAAGTAATTTTTTATATTTGAATAAATAGTTACACAGTCGAAACATCAATTGAACTTGCAATATTAAAATCTGGAAAACAGTGATCCCTTGGAAGCAATTAACAATTTCAATCACTTGAAAATATATATTGTCTTCCCTTCGCGGACTTCTTTATCATAGTCACTTTTACAGGGTTTAAACGAGCTGTAATTTATCAGAAATTTATCACAAACATTACTATAACAAGACCGCTTTTACCAGGGCTTAAACGAACTGCTGAAATTTATTTATTAATGCAATTTAAGTATGAATAATAAAAATAAGATGAAAAGTTGGGTAGATAAATAGCTAGGTAGCAGCAAAAAAGTAAATCCAAACACGTAAATGAAAATAAAAAAATAAACGATTATCTTACTTTTTATCTGTGTTGATAAACTGCTCAAATCCTCATTTAAGACAGACTCATCATTACTTATTTGAAAGAAATGCTGTTCGTTTTCAATTTGTGATGCCAGGTCGCTCATCGTATAAAAGCCTATTGTATATGTTTTGTTCCCGATTGCAAATGAATATATTTCCACATCAAAGTCATTTTTAAGTTTTGAAGCGGCATCAGTAGGATCACCCATACTTGTAAATCTTCCTGTTAAATAGTATGCTTTTTTAGGCAATATTCTAAAGTTTTTTAGAAAAATAAATATGAATAAGTAGTTGTCTGCTTACAACGTTAAGTGAACTATGTCTTTCTATATTGTCATCTTTTATAAGTGCATGCAGCTTTAGTTAATGAAACATCTTTTTTTAAATCAAGAGACAGTAAAATTTGGGTTAAAAGAATATTCTTGTAATTTAATATAATAATAATAGTACATGTAATAAAAGTAACACATTAAGAATATACAACAGCAATGATATTAATCTTATTTCCAAAGTGCCCTTCTGAAATGAGAAAAGAAAAACAGCAACAACCGAACATGAATATAGGTGATTTACAAAACGACTTAAATTGTGTTATAATATGTGTAATTTCTAGAATAAGATAATTCAAATTGTTTATTTAACTAAAGTATCAAAGGGACTGACTCTTTCATATTCTTTCGACAGACACGCAACTAAACAATCTATTTAAAGATATGTGCATCCTTCCTTCCTTCCTTCCTTCCTTCCTTCCTTCCTTCCTTCCATCCTTCCTTCCTTCCTTCATTCATTCATTCAATCATATGAATCATTCATTCAGTCATTCATTCATTCATTTATTTATTCATTATTTATTTATATTAAGATATGTTATGTATTGTTTAAGTAAATAATTGAATAATTATTTTTCTAATGTACACTATTACTGAAATAGCTGTCACTTACCGTCACTGATAATAATCAAAACTTGCTTGGAATTCCTGCCTTTACCATTTCTAGACCATACCAACTTCGTTTCAATTTGGTTATATACATCATTCAATGCAGCTGTTATTGCGCTCCCGTAATCTGTGTAAACGTAATAAAGGTATATACGTAATGAATACATAGTTTTTCATCCAAAACGGAATTTATTTTTTCGTATTATTAAATTAATTTAATTTTGAACAGTCCAGTATGAAATGAACTCATTCATTTAAAAGTGAATAATATTTACAATCCTATATAATGTACCTCATTTAATTTGTGAAAAATATAAATATAGCTTCAATGTTTTGCACAGCACAACAAGTTCGTGTCTATCAATGCAACAAACAGAAAACTTTTTTTAAATTGGTACTCATAGTATCCACTATTTCATTTTTAAAGAAAAAGAAATGTCATTTATTTGGATATGACATCTATGCAATAAGGAACACATTTTGAAAGAGTAAGTTCAATGAAATTATTTCATAATGTGTTGGGACACACGCCTTGAACTTCTCAGGTTTAAATGCAAAATATATGCGAGAGAAATCTATGAAGCTGCTCTATCTACATTCCATGTCCCTGCACCGGCTTACGCAGTGTTCAACATGCATCAATAAAATTGCAAACAAATGTGTTCACATGGCCTCCTCAGTTTTTGGCGATGCAGGTGAGCTGTTTTCTTTTATGGTTTGCTTTTTTTGGCCACGGTAGGAGCTGTTATTATTTGCAGTTAATGTCATGTTGTGTTAATTTGTTTTATTCGTAAAATCAAGTAAACAAATATTTTGTTATATTTGTATTTAATAACTTTATGTAAAAAGCATGTGCATCGTGATATTATTTTCACGAGATTTCAGGCTCAGTTTAACAGCCTGTCCCTTAGCTTTATTGGCAATAGTAAAAGCCGGATCCTGAATATCGTTGTGGTCTACATTGATGCCAATCGCTTTATATTTCATTCATTTTTGTTTTTGTTTTTTATCTTAGTTTTTTTTTGGATTTTATAATTTTTCACTGTGAAGCCATTTTTTTGTGTAAATTATGCATTATTTATTGTTTCGTTTTATATACTGTAATGCCAAACCTTTTCGTCAGCAGTTAAAGGTGACCTGTGATGTCCGAGACAAGCTTTTGTTTATATTTGTGAATCATATATCTTTTTAAAATTTTCCTTCTAGAAGAACGTTTACCTGCAAGTGAGTATAAGGATTGGTAATGGAACTGTTGTAAACGATAACCCGGTTGATTTTATCCATATACGTTTATCTATTGCACAAAATGATATTTTTTTTACAAAGTTTACCAGTATCCGGATGTTAAAAGCTATCCGATTTTCTGTAATGTAATTATTGCAGTCACATGGCCATCTGACTTTTTATGAGTACTTTTTGCCATTACTTTGCATGGCTTAATAAAAACTGAGCCCGCAACATTTCATAAATTTGCTGTTTATGGTGTTCTTTTGTGTTTCAAGTTTTGTCTATTTAAAGAGGAAGTAACTCATGTTTTTGAAATTATTAATTCTTTTCTGTCTATCTTAGGTAGTACTTTCTATTTTTGTTGTATATTATTTACCAGTTGTAAGGGCGTCAAAAGTATAAAGGCCCTGAGGAGAGAAAATTGAAAGATTTGTTTTGACTGGCTTAATATTCCTTCGTATAATGGAACTTTCCGTTTATTACTTTCCACTGATTCTTTTCGATACTTTTGGTTGAAAAGACATATTCGTTTAAAGCCACGCCGTTTTTTCCTCGTGAAAATTAACATTTTTTTTTTATCTTTTATGGCCTCACAACGTAAGTTTATAAACGTTAATGGTTTAATTTAGAAGTTTACCATATAATGTGTCCTTTTATAGTTGTATTTTGTGTGCATTCTTCGTATTATTTGCAATATAAACAAGTTTATTCGAATTTCGTACCGGGACACAAGAATAATCAATCAAATGTCTGGTAGAATCCGCAAATTGACTTCAAAAGCTATAGCGAAATATGTCGAGCAGGTAAACTTTGGAGAAAAATCTGTGGCAATTGGAAAGTTACTAAAGGTGGACATTTATTCATGTGACATTGAAAATTTCGAGAAAGATTTGAATGATAAATCGAATGCTTTACACAATGAAAGTGAAAAATTCAAAGAATACTTAGAAAACTATAAAAACTGATGAATCTTTGAAACGCTTGATGAACTTAGTGCTGATCGTGATAAACTGGTTCATGACGTTACAAAATTTAATAACAAAATAACACAATGGAATCAAATTCAAAGAAATTTAGTGTTTTCACCAGCTCGAAGTGTCTCAAAACACTCAACTACATTGTACATCATCAGCTAAAGCACGTATAGCTGCAGCTAAAGCAAAATTACGTTATGCTAAAATGGAAGCAAATTTAAGAAAATAGAGAAAGATGAATTGGAAGAAAAACATGGCATTGAAACTGCAGCAGTAAAAAGACAACAAGAAACACTTGACATTGACATTGGTCTTGTTAAACAACAAAGTGTCGTTGCTGAAATTGAAGTACAAGTTGATGAAAGTGACTCTAATGATTGTTTAAGTGTAAATTCAATTATCTATTTACAGTAATTTACCAAACAAACATTAAATGGTTATCTGGATGGCAATTGGTTTTTCGTTTTATTTCGTGTCTTCACACTTGGTCTGGATTTTTCTAGTTTGTTCAGTTAGTACATAACTTCAGTGTTTCTAAACACTATGTGATTTAGATGGGAACGCACTTCTTTTAACATGGCGGCTTGGACGCGCGTGATAGTATTTCGTCCATTGTTAGTTTAAAACCGAAAGTGAAAGTAATTTTTTATATTTGAATAAATAGTTACACAGTCGAAACATCAATTGAACTTGCAATATTAAAATCTGGAAAACAGTGATCCCTTGGAAGCAATTAACAATTTCAATCACTTGAAAATATATATTGTCTTCCCTTCGCGGACTTCTTTATCATAGTCACTTTTACAGGGTTTAAACGAGCTGTAATTTATCAGAAATTTATCACAAACATTACTATAACAAGACCGCTTTTACCAGGGCTTAAACGAACTGCTGAAATTTATTTATTAATGCAATTTAAGTATGAATAATAAAAATAAGATGAAAAGTTGGGTAGATAAATAGCTAGGTAGCAGCAAAAAAAGTAAATCCAAACACGTAAATGAAAATAAAAAAATAAACGATTATCTTACTTTTTATCTGTGTTGATAAACTGCTCAAATCCTCATTTAAGACAGACTCATCATTACTTATTTGAAAGAAATGCTGTTCGTTTTCAATTTGTGATGCCAGGTCGCTCATCGTATAAAAGCCTATTGTATATGTTTTGTTCCCGATTGCAAATGAATATATTTCCACATCAAAGTCATTTTTAAGTTTTGAAGCGGCATCAGTAGGATCACCCATACTTGTAAATCTTCCTGTTAAATAGTATGCTTTTTTAGGCAATATTCTAAAGTTTTTTAGAAAAATAAATATGAATAAGTAGTTGTCTGCTTACAACGTTAAGTGAACTATGTCTTTCTATATTGTCATCTTTTATAAGTGCATGCAGCTTTAGTTAATGAAACATCTTTTTTTAAATCAAGAGACAGTAAAATTTGGGTTAAAAAGAATATTCTTGTAATTTAATATAATAATAATAGTACATGTAATAAAAGTAACACATTAAGAATATACAACAGCAATGATATTAATCTTATTTCCAAAGTGCCCTTCTGAAATGAGAAAAGAAAAACAGCAACAACCGAACATGAATATAGGTGATTTACAAAACGACTTAAATTGTGTATAATATGTGTAATTTCTAGAATAAGATAATTCAAATTGTTTATTTAACTAAAGTATCAAAGGGACTGACTCTTTCATATTCTTTCGACAGACACGCAACTAAACAATCTATTTAAAGATATGTGCATCCTTCCTTCCTTCCTTCCTTCCTTCCTTCCTTCCTTCCATCCTTCCTTCCTTCCTTCATTCATTCATTCAATCATATGAATCATTCATTCAGTCATTCATTCATTCATTTATTTATTCATTATTTATTTATATTAAGATATGTTATGTATTGTTTAAGTAAATAATTGAATAATTATTTTTCTAATGTACACTATTACTGAAATAGCTGTCACTTACCGTCACTGATAATAATCAAAACTTGCTTGGAATTCCTGCCTTTACCATTTCTAGACCATACCAACTTCGTTTCAATTTGGTTATATACATCATTCAATGCAGCTGTTATTGCGCTCCCGTAATCTGTGTAAACGTAATAAAGGTATATACGTAATGAATACATAGTTTTTCATCCAAAACGGAATTTATTTTTTCGTATTATTAAATTAATTTAATTTTGAACAGTCCAGTATGAAATGAACTCATTCATTTAAAAGTGAATAATATTTACAATCCTATATAATGTACCTCATTTAATTTGTGAAAAATATAAATATAGCTTCAATGTTTTGCACAGCACAACAAGTTCGTGTCTATCAATGCAACAAACAGAAAACTTTTTTTAAATTGGTACTCATAGTATCCACTATTTCATTTTTAAAGAAAAAGAAATGTCATTTATTTGGATATGACATCTATGCAATAAGGAACACATTTTGAAAGAGTAAGTTCAATGAAATTATTTCATAATGTGTTGGGACACACGCCTTGAACTTCTCAGGTTTAAATGCAAAATATATGCGAGAGAAATCTATGAAGCTGCTCTATCTACATTCCATGTCCCTGCACCGGCTTACGCAGTGTTCAACATGCATCAATAAAATTGCAAACAAATGTGTTCACATGGCCTCCTCAGTTTTTGGCGATGCAGGTGAGCTGTTTTCTTTTATGGTTTGCTTTTTTTGGCCCACGGTAGGAGCTGTTATTATTTGCAGTTAATGTCATGTTGTGTTAATTTGTTTTATTCGTAAAAATCAAGTAAACAAATATTTTGTTATATTTGTATTTAATAACTTTATGTAAAAAGCATGTGCATCGTGATATTATTTTCACGAGATTTCAGGCTCAGTTTAACAGCCTGTCCCTTAGCTTTATTGGCAATAGTAAAAGCCGGATCCTGAATATCGTTGTGGTCTACATTGATGCCAATCGCTTTATATTTCATTCATTTTTGTTTTTGTTTTTTATCTTAGTTTTTTTTGGATTTTATAATTTTTCACTGTGAAGCCA